ACATTTTGACTTGGGGACACTCTTGATGCACCAATTACGTCCGCATCTTGGGGTCTCACTGTACTTGAGACCAAGGTGTGAAGTAAGGGTCAAAATGTGGAATGGATTATTAAGGTCAAGAAAATTCTGGGAATTTTTCCATCCCTCCCCCCTCTTCTTGAACCCGGCTACTATTCACTTGAATCCCCTTGTCTGTGACCCAGCGTTTATAAGAGACTGGCCTCTATTAGATAGAAAACGTCCATCAGAGCAAATACGGCACATCTACTTCAGCATTCACTTATATAATAACCTCTCTCACTTTCTTGAGTGGTGAGAGACCGACGTGACGTTTGTTTGACGCAAAGCGTAATTTTTCCGCGTGATACGAGCCCCTCTCTTGTATCGAGTATTAGTGCGTATGAGGAATTTCCGGGATCGTAAATTTATTGCGCCGCCGTGTCTTTATCCGTGCGACCGACCTTCTGTTGAGTAGCAACAAGTGGGTCAAGTGTAATTCCCAATCATGCTGTGATGACTCTGTCGATTACTCTGCATGTTTACAAATGTACATTACAGTACCGCCGTGTCTATACCCGATTGTATATAAGCGTTGCGCTTCAATTTTTAGAAAATCTCGATCCTCGAGAAGACGACGAAGTTTGCTGTGCTGATGAATCTTTATTATAGATGCCGCCTCTTATTCTTTTGGCGTCCTCGTCGGAGTAAAACATGAAGTATAGGTTGTGTATATGCTTTTGTTGGGCCGAAAAAGTTTACCAACTTTTAAATGACGCTATATATGCAGTGGACTCTCTCATGTCCACCGATTTTGTCTACAACGAATTTCTTTGTGCATCGAATTTTTACTCGATCCATATGGGTTCTCTTCCCCATGTTATGTAATGGTTCTCCACAACGAAATTCTCTCAAAAACAATTGCTTTCTGGTCCCTTGAGTTTCGTTTTAGGCATAAAGTCCACCGACTGTTTCCTCGTACGCATTGTTGATGACTAACTCGAAATAGAGACTCATCCGACTTCTATATAAATTATTGAATTGAACGCGCTATAGCTGCGCTGCGATTATAACTTTTCATCTCCCGGGAATAAGTACAGTACATCTGTACTGTATACTGCGAAACAAATGTCAGATTTTTTGTTCTATTTTCACTTCGAATTTCCCGATTTTTATATTTTGGGTCATGAATTTGTATCTAGTCTCTTGATGGATTTGCAAAAGTTAATATAATTGTATGAATTTTAATAATGCAGGAATGGCATTTATAAGACAATTTTCCGGCGTTCCTTGTGACCCCGAAGAACTGCAAGTGAAGTGTAATCCGTTTGCACCGCGCTGTTCATGAAGAGAGTTCTCCGCGGTTCAAAGATTAGGGGATTAATTTGGGGATTATTCACAATCTGCTGGTGTAGACGGTATTCATTTTCTCTGCATGAATACTTGGGTGATTTTTTGATGGCATGGCACGTGACATGTCGGAATAATTTACAACTGCAGTACTTGTGTGGGAGTATGCATGCTCAGTCAGAGCGCTTTTGTGGAATTTCGTTTTCCTTCTCAGAGTCGGTTTGGTTTTGTTCTTTTTGGCTGAATATTTATGGTTAGTTGGTGTAGAGTGCTAATTCATGAGTTTTAAAAGTCTGATATGTCTTGGCCTTGTTGCTTAGGTATTATAGGCTCATACATATTGAAGCTCCTTTTTAAAATGCTGCTCTCTTGCTAAATTCAATTGGTGATGATTGCAGTTCCACTGTTTTTTTGCTATAGTCAAAATAAAATGAAGTTCTGCTCGTTTATGGGATTTCAATTTCAGTAGGCATTTTAATGTAAGTTATTTACCGTAGGTATAAATGTTGGTTATGTATACTGCATAAGGTGGTTGGGCATGAAGCTAATTTAGGTATTCAAGGCTAAGTTAGTTAGGTATAAAGCTAAGTTATAATTAGGTATAAGACTAAGTTAGGTCAGTGTAATCCTAAGTTAGTTAGATATAATCCTTATTTAGTTAGATATAATCCTAACTTAGTTAAATATACTCCTATGTTAGTTAGATATAATCCCAAGTTAGTTAGATATACTCCTAAGTTAGTTAGATATAATACTAAGTTAGTTAGGTATAATTCTAAGTTTACTTGGGTAAAGTCCTTTGAATCTTTCAATTTATTTTACCAATCCCAAAACATGACAGGCACTGCATACCAGCATATCCTGATGGCCAAGTACCATCAGGTCCATAACTGCGAACTCCGCAACTATACTCGCATATTTTTGACATGCTATGAACGTCAAGTACATGTAACTTCATATTATCTCATGCGAGTTTTTTCTTCATTTTTTTTAAGGGCACATTTTGTTTCAAAATCCTTTCTATATGCCTAAAAAGCATATGGCACGAAAGATGCATCCCTGATTTCGGGACAGTATTGAATACCACCTGCCAATAAGTGGTCAGTATATATCTGCTGCATGTGAATGAACAAATACATTTTGAGTTTGGGGTGTTGAATGTGGCAAATGGCTGCCAAGTATCATGCACCAAAAAGTTGGTCCAACTGCCCATGTGACTAGAAATCAGATTGCTGACGGGGTGATTTCCGCTTCAGTGATGCTCAAATCTCATCCCGATCATGTGATTTTTGAACAGTAGTGTAGTACCAACTGAAAACCCTCAGTACAGTACTGAGGAGCCCATTGACCCATACAAAATCCGACGATGAGACCATTCTTTACGTAACTCTATACATGAGTCTGCCGAAGAAGAGGAGTCTGAGCCTGTATCGGGTAACAGAATCCTGTCGCCTTGCATTTACAACTTTTGAGCGTGTGTGTGTGTGTTTGAGGTCACAAAGGCACTCACCTGCTCACGACTGCCGCCTCGCCGGCGCCGCGGGTTGTGACAGCGCGTCAGCGATAGAAACAAAAGAAAATTTCCTTCTCTTTTTTTATTTTCTTCCTCCTTTTCCTTCGTATTTTGAAGGAGGGGAACGAAGCAGGCGCCGCTTCGACACGTTGGGACCCGAAGGGAACCTTGTTCCGCTTACAGCCAGAGGCGCACTTCTTCTGGGGAGAAAGTCGCCTTTCAAGGGGCGAGTCCGGTTGACAAATCCCAAATACTGCATGTATATACTGTACATTATTTTGCATTGACAATTTTTATGCTCATTCCGAACTTCGAATTCCTCTTGCGATTTCTTGATTGTCAAATATTATAAATTCAAGGTAAATATCTTGTTGAAGCAAGTATGTGCTGATGCAGTATATTGCGCTGAAGCAAATGTTATACGCAGGACTGCAAAAAAATGTTTTGCTATATAAGATTTTACTGCACATTAACGGATTTTCTCATGAATAAAAATTCTCCATAGACTCGCTCTGTCTGCACTCTCCCTCTCTCTTGTTTATAAAAGTAGAATAGTACGACACTGCAAAGCCTGCTGCTCTACATGCATATTTCACCTCCAGATTCAAAAAGTAACACACCCGTACTGTAGTGAATATACATTCCAACAGTTTGGATTGAGTATAAGAAGTATAAAAATTGTCAATCCAAAATAATGTATATGTCCCTGCCGCTTAAGTACTGTACTACAGTACCGGTATGTTACTTTTTGAATCTGGAAGTAAAATATGCATGCAGAGCATTCAGCAGACTTTGCAGTGTCGTACTAAAGTATTGTACTTTCATAAAAAAAAGAGAGAGGGAGAGAGCAGACAGAGCGAGCCTATGGAGAATTTTTATTTTAAAAATCTGAATTGGATCGACTTGCTGGCGAATCTCATTTTCATTTTTATTTTTACATAGAAACGATGATCTTTTTGCCCTCGTACAATCAAGCATTATTTGTGCTTTGCTTAGGGAATGTATATTCACTGAGGAATAAGGGTTGTTTGCTAGAAAATCAAGAATGAGTTGCTCTTGTGGAAATGTATTTTCTCCTTCAGTGCTGACTTGTTCTTTTAAGGGATCTAGGATAAATAGAGGCAGACAATTTGAGACAGCAGACGGGGCCAATTCAAGACAAGGACAATTTGAGACACGGCAAAAATTGAGACAGATACTTCTGGAGACAGGGACAATTTGAAACATAAACTTTTTGATACAAGGACAATTTGAGACTGACACTTTTTGAAACATGGACAAATTTTGACAAATACATATTGATAATTTGAGACATTTTGAGAATTTTAGACATTTTGAAAATTTTAGACATTCTGAAAATTTTAGACATTCTGATAATTTTTGACATTTTGAGAATTTGAGACAGAAACAGTTCGAGACAAAATGACAACTGTGTTTCTCCCTATTATCTTATGTTCAAGGTGTGAAAATGAAAAAAAAATTGCACTGTTTGTTGAAAAGTCCATGACCCCATGGTGTTTCTCCTTTTTGTCCAATGACACTGTCAAGTGAGTTTTCCTCATCGTGGAAAAACTCGAATTTTTAAAACAACCTAAGCAGATTTCTCACCTCATTGAGATGATTTTTGTTGCAATTTGTCCCTGACTTGAATTGTCCTTATCTCAAATTGTCCCTGTCTCTAATTGGCCCTGTCTCGAATTTTCTGTCTCCATTTGTCCAGTCTTGAATTGTCTGTCTTGATTTGTCTGTATCCCTCTTGTAATGATACAATTAAAACATAACAAAACATGAAACAAGTATTGATATCCGGGGAGGATCGTGTAATCCGCAACAGTGCAGCATTAAAAATACGGTATTTTGAAAAAAAGGGTTTAACAGTAGACTACAGTAGTAGTTTACAGTTGACTATAGCAAGTCAATATTTTTATTAATTAAAACGAGGACTTCTCTAGAAATGCAATGCTTTGTCTCATTCGTTCTCTGGGCGTGTGATTGACAGCTTTCAAGAATTGCTCTTTTTTTGGTGAGCACTCATGACGTCCGAGAGATTGGTCTTCTAAAATTAAGTGGATACCGTGAAACTTGTTTTACGTCACACTGCTGGGTTTCACTGCGCCGTTGTAGAGTGCTGTATTCTTGGATTCACGAGACGGAATTCAAACTTTGTTCTCTAGGAAACTGTCCGATGAAGTTAATTGTCAAGAGAACCATGCACCTGGCGTGAGTCCTTTCGGGACGATGGCAGTACAGTACCAGACCGCGACAAAGAGCCTGTGTGCGTTAATCCGAAACTTGACCATTTTTGTTATATTTTTATGGGATTTTCCAAGTACCTCGGATAATCATCAAATACTTACCCGAGACCAGTTTTTTTTTTAAAGGCAAGGTGGATGTGGAATATCGAGGATAAGGTTTCTGGTGTTGTTTTTCCTCCGGAGATTATGGAAGATTCCTGACGGGGGGATATTTTACAGGAAGGACTTGATGCCCTGATTTATGTCGTGAGTGCGCACAGCTGCTCCAGTTGGGGGACTCGACTTTTTTTTTTTGCTGGTGAAAGTTCAATTTGAAAGCGATCGACTCAAAAAAAAAATTCGATTCAGGGATTTTTCGAGTTCGGGAATATGACCTGATTTGTGTTGGTTGATGAATGACAATTATTGGAAGAGTTTTATCATTCTGAGAGATGGCTTACCTTCTTCTGGAAAAGTTCCCACAATGTGAAAGCATCAAGATAATACCTTGCAAATGGTCTTGGGCAGGTTAAGCACAAATGTAAGGATGGATAATTTGAATGAGGAAGGTCAGAGCCGAAAAAGTTTTGAGTTTGCCAGGTTTAAAATACTGTACATTTGTCTAAATTTGAGTTATTTAATGGAAATGTAGGTTATATAGAGGTTTTTCACATTGGGATAATGAGGTTCAACTTGAAGTGGTTGTTCCTGTGTATGCAGACAAGACATTTATTGAAGGAGTTATACAGTGAGACCCCCACATGCGGACGCCTTCACCTGCAGACAATTTGACATAGGGACACTTATTTTCCCAGAAAAAATTATTAAAACAGGCCCAACATGAGGACACTGACTTGACATAGGGACATTTTGTGATAAAATCGTAAATACATTTCTGGCCTAATTACAAGAAACAGATATTTCCAACCCTGAAATTGATGTAAGAAAAGTTTTTGGACATTTCTCTCACCAATTTACCATCCATTTAGCTAATTAAAAAAATTACCTCCAGCATAGAGGGACTTCTACTTTTTTCACTTGATTGTTATTTTTTTAGATGCCAAAATTTCAGTGTACAGTACAGAGATACTCTATTCAATGCTCCAAATGTTCTTATTGAGTTGAAAATGTATTCACTAATTCAAATTCAATTGGCAAAAAATTTTTTTCAGGGAATTCTGAAGAATATTTCCACAAAACACCAATTAAAAATTATATAATGTAAGTCTATGGGAAAACAAGACTCTACTTAGGGACATTTTGACTTGGGGACACTCTTGATGCACCAATTACGTCTGCATCTGGGGGTCTCACTGTACTTAGTTTGTGTCCAGGTTCAAACCAGGACAGTGGTGGTGCCTTCATCATATTGGTCAAATGCTTTGACATAATTTCCCCCAACATTTCCTGCATTCAGCCATTTCTATAGTTTAAGACTTTTATTGAACTAAACATGTATGGTAACTATCTCCCTCAGCTAACGCATACAAAAAGTCTTGTGAAATTCAGATTTAACCCTCTTTCAATTGTTCTTTTTTCCTGAAACTTAAATCGTCCATAAAAACGGAATTTCAAGTCAACTGCCATAAGTAAAATTTAACTCACGTTGTCGTGAATCATTCTTGGCGCAAAATACGTAGAATTTTGTATGGAGCCTAGACATGTGTCTTGTTATCGTTTCTATCCTTCAGCACGTCAATCGTGGAAAAGCCTTTTGGGTAAAAAGGAAAAAGTTGCGTAGTTGCAGTTCCTATTTAAAATGCATGTAAACTGCATTTGTGCAAATGAGAAGCTGTATAGCTTAAAAAAAAATAGTCCACGCTCCCTTCAGTAAATGCGGCTGAAATGTCATCATTTTATTAACCAATACAGCTTTCCTTTATTGATACAGATATGCATTTTCCACGTTTATGACGGTACGTTTGGGGAAATCTGATATTTTATATGTTTCTTTTAGATCAAGTGCGTTATCCCCTTATTCTGGACAAAAGTCAGCTCGTTGGTCTTCTGAGGCATTTTTTATAGATAATATTATAGGTTCTTGTTGTTTAAAAATGTGTATGAAATTTAAAAGCAGTTTCTGAGCCTCGTCTTCCGTTAGACTCCATGACAATAAGGTTTTTCTTGAGTGCTACGAGAAAATACTGCAGAGGATGAAATTTCACGGGGGAAAAATGCCAAAACTGTTGAAGGAGGAATTAACGATAATCCTTAAACAATTGATTCCGTTCTAACACGATTCCCTAAGCAATTAAAGTCAAACATTAATCAAAAGATTATGTACGCCACTATACGTGGATTACATAATGTGGGGACAGAAAAATTAAAACTGGCGAATGAACGTAAAAAGTCTCATCAATTATGCAGAGTGCTTGAAATAATAATGAAGGCAGGGTGAAGACAATTGTCATTTGTATTATAATTTACCATATAGTTACCGTCAGCCAAGCACATCATGATTCCTTTCTCGCATTCAAAATCTTTTTTAAACCATATTTGTGTTTTGAGACCCTTGTTTGTTTATCTCACTTGTGATGATTATAAGAGCCGATAAAGTCTGAAAATCTTGAAAATTATATTTTTTTCACGGTGATTTTATTCGTGGTTGATTCAAGTATTTATGTTTGATTTTCTGTTTTTTTAATGAAATGAAACAAATTGAGCTTGAAACTTTCTCCTAATTTTCCTGCTGTTATAACGATGCGTATATGTGTTCGCATTGTTATTATCCTCGCTTAATTTCTTCGGAGTCGAGTGTGTTTTTCAAGTACAGTTTCTGCAAAATTTTTGGCACCTGCTGGTACGAATAGCGGTGTCCGCGGGGGGTTGAATTCCGCCAAAATTTTCCTCCAAATCATTCCACAACCGAAAAACCGCTTGGTTCCAAGAAAATCGGCATGACTTACCGTGTGTTATTCAGCTTCAGCAGTCTAATACGCACGTGTTTCGCGGGAACTTGAGGAACTTTGCGTGAAGCGTATGTAGTAAGCGTATTCGTAGTTGTTTGTTTTGTCTATTTATGCGAGAATGAAGGAAAATCCCCAGAAAGTGCCTTTTCCACCGGGTTTGACACACGAATGATAATGGGAATAAGTCAGCAGCAGAGGAAAAAACGCGCGAGATGGAGATAGGGAGCAGCGTTGACAGGGCCCCGCGAGATGGCGGGCGGAGTAGGGGGAAAAAACGGGCAGGGACCGCATTATTGCCACTGATGGAGAATTCCCCTTGAGCGACTGAATAATTTATCCAACCAGGTAAAAGTGTCCGTGCGGAACAGGAGGGGCTTTTTCAAGCAGTGAACAGTGAGACCCCCAGATGCGGACATAATTGGTGCATCACTAAGTTGAATTGTCTCTAAGTGGAGTCTTGTTTTCCCATATACTTACATGATGTAATTTTTAATTGATGTTTTATGGAAGAAATATTCTTCAGAATTCCATGAAAAAAAAATTGTTTGCCACTTGAATTTGATTCAGCGAAAATCTTTTCAACCCAATAAGAACATTTGGAGCATTGAATAGTATACTGCTTTACAGTTCATTGAAATTTTGGCTTCTGTAAAAATAATATCCAAGTCACAAAGAGAGAAGGAAGTCCATCTGTGCTATTGGTAATTTTTTTAATTATCTGAATGGATGGGAAAGGGATGGGAAAAGTAACAAAGCATTTTTCTTGCATAGTTCTTAGGGTTGGAAATATCTCTTTTGTGCAATTATGCCTAGTAGAAATCAATTGTCCTAAAATTTTTTGGCAATTTTATCATGCAATGTCCTTCTGTCTAGTCAGTGTCCATATGTTGGGCCTTTTTTGTGATTTTTTTATTGAAAAGTAAATGTCCCTATGTCAAATTGTTCCCATGTCCGGGTCTCACTGTACAGTACAGTACATGATGGCGGTTGATCTCCATAGCCAAACCTCTTTCAGTCGAACTTCAAAAGGGACCAGCGAAAAAAATCCAGTTTGACTTTTGTCCATGAGGCAAAGAGTACAAAGTACTCATGAAATGGATCTTGGAGAATAAATTGTTGAGAAGGTTTATGGATGGGCTGTCCTTCAAATTAAAGGCTGTTGAACCTGCTACAGTATCCAATGAGTAACAGCCTATATGAAGCAAACTGGGAGATTCCTGGAATCTCGCGTGGATTACTGCTGCGTCTTGCATTACAAACTTTGGTTCAAAATTGGAAAAGGTGACGTTTATTTGAAAGAGCGATTTAATTATACAAGACTTATTTTCAGCGGCGTAGAAGACTTTTCTCATGCGTGATTATAAGGATTGGGACATAGAGAAAATTCCATATTATCCGAAAACAAATTTAAATTTCGGCAGAACTCTGAAAATCGGGAAAATGTTCGTGCATAATCGTTTAAAAAGGAGCTCAACAATGTCGAAGTTTTGATGATGGATTTAAATGCAATTGAAATTTAGGCAATTATTTGTTCATGACTTTCAAGAATGTTTTCGTTTTCAGGAGAAAATTAACGATATTCGCATTGTTCCTCGAGGAAAACTTGATTTTATGAAATCAAATTGGTGTGAAAAAAAAATCAAGTTTTTAGGCAAAGCGCCTTTTTGATCCCAAATATTGGAGACTATGAAAAGGATATCCTCAATGCAATCAGGCGGGATAGCGAAAATTCCATATATTTCCGCTCGAGGTTCTGGAAGAATTATCTCTGTTTCACGGTACAGCGAAAATCAATTTGAGTGGAAAAAATTTATCCGGCGGAAAATTTGACAAATGTCGTGAATCCTGCGTCATTCCATCAATCTAGAAACCTCGATGGCAGTCATGTTGGCGCAGGAGACCCATCATGCGACTACTGCGCTGCTGTACCCGCGGACGCGTCTGACGGGTTGCTCGTTTATCAAATGCTTGCCCTCACTGTTTATTTTCTTGTGCCCCCACGTTCTCTCTCTCTCTGGGTCTCCCCCCTCCGCGCATGTGCCCAGGGCCCCGCGTACGACGTTTTGGCTGATGCAACGCGCCACAGGATTTACGCTACTGAATGAATTCTCCCCTTACTACATCCACAGAACCCCGGCAGGAGTATAAAGCCCCAGGTTCTACGCGGGCCACGCGTCAGTTCCATAGTTAATTCGAGTTGAGGTGGTTGTTCACTTTTTTGTGCCTTCACGAAGCATCAAGAAGTATTGTTCCTGCCTCCGAAGTGTGTGAGAAGCAAGCCTTACGAAAAGTTATTGGCAGAACTTCACAGTGCCGTCATCTATTCGATCAACAGTCGTGAAAGGTCAGTGGGAAATTTTGAACGGGTTCATGGTGACGCATGACAGTCCGATGTACCCGGGACTCGGACTGTCATTTCCATCATGCGGAAGTCAGGTCGCGAACAAGTCCTTCGAATTTGGATCCGGATTTATTGAGGAAGTGTCTCTCACATTGATACTTCCTTCAATCTTATCGAAACTGTCGAACGTCTAGACGATGCTGTAAAAATAGGCCCTTTTCGGTGTGCTTTCCCCTAGTGTCCCTTGTCAGTAATTCATCTTTGAATTGTTTAGGTGTCGCCTGTATTTTAAGTCGGACTTACTTGAGAAGTAATTTAAACAAAGCACTCCTGTCAAAAAGAAACTAAAGCAACTTGTTTAATTTACTCAAGCCTTTTTTCGGATTTTCGAAGTCCTATTTTCCCCTCCCCTTGCGTGGTAGAATCCGTTGTTCCCCATCGGTCTTCTAATAAAAATTTAGGTGAGGTTAAAGCTTATTAGAGAAAGTTGAATTATTATTGTCCTCAATCTTCGGAATTCTCAGCATTCGTGCTGGATAGTCCACTAATGATCCCGTGTTTTATATTGTGCACTTGAAGATTTGTGTGGGGCTTGATTTAAATCGTGTTCTAATTTTTTCTAATTAGAGAGGAAGAATACTTGTTTGTAAAAAATTAGAGAGGGTGTCGAAAACAAAAGTGCTGACGAAGTGGAAAGTCTTCAACAATAGATTCAATGTGTTTGACTTCTTGTATTCATCTAATAGAATATCATGAGTTTAATGGGGGATAAGTTTTAAAATAGAAAATTGCGGTTAAGCAGAACTTGTACCTTAGATCCGATAGTATACAGTAGATGACTGACAAGCCGAATCAATTAATGGTTTGAAGCTCTTGGGTGTATTCCCTGATCAGGTTTCATGCCCATGGAGTTCAGAACTCGTGGAACTCCTGTTTCCCGAAGAGATTTAACGTTAGATTAGCGAATAAACAAAATGGGGTCGCTTTGTTCACCTACCTTTTGACGGGACCTCTGGCCCCTCCGTATGCGAGTCGAAACTCGAATTGTTTCGGGGGCGGGCTCGGAAAATTCCATTGGGGTGGGTGGCACGAAGATGTTCCTTGACGGGTATGAGCGAAGGCCGGAGACGCGAGGGGAAATTGATATTCGGAACACTCGTCTAATTGCGCATGCGTTCGTTTCGGAGCATCTGAATTCTATCAAGAAAATAGATCTGCTTAATTCAAATCTCCCGTTTTTTATCATAACATGCTATGTGAGTCTGGATTTACTGCGCAGATTGCTGAAAGAAAATCACGATTTTATCGCGTCGTTCGTCCGGGAAATTCCCAGCATAAGGCTGAATCAATACCTATACGAACTCCGCGACTGAATTTTCTTCCTTCTGTTTTTGCAGTGAGCTCATGGATTCGCTGACGAACTCTTTCCTGGCTGGGATGAATCTACGAAATCAGGTGAGGATTACTTTTTGTTGGAGTAGAACATTTGCATAGTGGGGAAGGGTCGACATTACGGGAAAACCGTGTACACTATTTCATTAGGATCGATTTGTCAGTTTAGGCTCTCATTTTAATATCTTTTGAAAGTTGATTTCAATTTTGGCTTCTTCGAGCATATGATCGAGCGATAAATCTCGTTGGACGTAGATGGCAAGAATAACGTGTCGTTCGCCAGCATGTTCACAATTTGATGGTGCGGAAGTGAAGCTGTACCTCGAAATGACCACAAAGTAATCCAACGAAATGAACGAAAAACATTCTTGCTCCCGTTGAATTTGTGTGGATGATGTATTCCGATTCTGACGCAAAGGGAAATTCAAAATTTTTATCATTTGCCTCAACAGATATTCTCGTTGGCGTTCAATTCGCTGAAAGCTGCGGCGGAGACGATAGGGCTGAACCATCAGCCTAACAACAACAACGTTGTTGGAAACACGAACAACACAGATTCCTTTTGCCCCGTGATTTCCAGCGCCCAAGTACCTCGTCCCACGGATTGCACACCCATCGAAGACCTGCCCGTAATCTCGATGGACACTGTGGCCGAACACTATCATGATGACGATTGTTGGGTCATCCTCTACGACCTCATTTATGATATCACGGATTTCATCAGAGAACACCCCGGAGGCGCTGAAGTTTTGCTGGAGCACGCGGGCTGCGACGCGACGATGGCGTTCCGTGGAGTTGGCCACTCCAAGCAAGCACTCCTCTCCATGGACAAGATGGTGGTTGGAGTATTACCCGAGGAAGAGCGGCTCTACTTGAAAAGTCGCAAAGAGCCCGCGACGATCCCCGCGAGCATCTGGTCTGAACTTGGGCTCATTGAACTGCAATCGGCTCTTTGACTATAAATCGAGTTATCATTGTAATTATCTTGTCATTTGATCTTTTTTTTATCATTTTAGCTTACCTGTAAGCGCGGTCATTTTTATTCTCGAAAGTATTGGAAGTGGTCCGGCTTGTTGACAAAAATTTTTGCGTATCTCCTGAATTTATTTTTCGCGGTGTGGTTGGTAATGAGAGTGATTTGAATCCCTCCGTGGTTTTAAGAAAATGTGCTCGTGGCGGAAAACAATAAATGAAATTCGTAGATACCATGCAATTATCTTCTGCATTTTCACTCCCTATAATTGTGAACAAAATTATATTTAAATGATACATATTCTGCAAACATATCCACTCAACAGGAATACAGGATCCACCACGCATAAGCCCGACCGTCCATGCTTCTTGAAAACCTGATTTCACATGGAAGTGATTTCCTCAATCCAAGGCAAGTAATGTGATACCCTGGTGGCGACATTGGGAGTGTTGGGCTGACATGCACCATTTTTCGACACCATGCCAATGGAGCTGATGCCAACGAGGTGGTCTGCATTTCTGAGGCGAATAAAAATTGGAGCTCCACCAATCCCCTGCAGCAGACATGAACACGGGGGATCAAATTAGAATGTAAGTTGAAAAAAAGTTCAGTCATTCGAAATCATAAGTCACCTATTCTTTTAGGCAGCAGTAAATTCAATTGTCGCGGTGCATGTTGGTACATTATTGGTCGTCATAATTAGTGGTATGTATAGCAGTGGTCCCAACCTTTTTTGGCCCACAGACCAAACAAGTTTCCATACAATTTTATGTGTACTGCGGCTAAGTTGCATAAAATTAGCACACAAAAACATGATACTGTAGAGGTGAAATTTGAAATATGGTGGTTGCTGGTAATTTTTTTCATGTTCTTACAGAGTGTGTAAAAGCGAATTTTGCGCCAGGAGTCATACATCAAGTCATGTTGGCTTCATGGAATATATATTTGAAGGTTGTTCGACCACAGAAAGTGATCAAATTATGAGGAGTATGAATACTATTTTGAAACACAAATTATCCGCAAAGCCGTATTTTACGACGAAAGCACTACTATACGTACACCTTCTGTCTGAGAAATGAGGCTCGGAAGTATGGAGTACGCGTGGTGTATGCGAATATAATTTTTTAGAAACAAAACTTTAGAAACCACTGATTTTGAGTCATGGATATGACATCAGTCTTTGTCGATGGCATCACTTCGGGCACAATGACGCATGCTAGTTTATTCAATAACGAGATTATTTTAAATTTACAATATGATTGTGTTTGGATTTTTTTTTTACTCACATTGCAAATGCCGATGTTATCCTGGGCATTCTTGAAGCACACCTGATAAAAACTGAGGTATCTCCTCAGAGATGTGTACATGCACACCAGGTTCCCGTCCACGTAAATATCTGCGCTGTGCAAAGCCCACCTCTGTCTATTGGAGTAATACGTCTCGGCTATTCTGCTGTTGGTGTTGTCATTGCTCATTCTCATCGCGCGGTCATTATCCTCATTTGCGTCCGCATCATCAATGACGTCATACCCGACCACCTGTCCGTTCAGGTAAGGATAAGTGAAGTACCACATGGGCATTGTTGCTAGCGGAGTGCGTTTGTCAGCGGGAACAAATTTGAGGAGGGCGATGTCGTTGTGCAAAGTGGACGGATCCCATTCCGGGTGCGGGAACGCGGTTTCTGAGCATTCTGCTGTGAAGCTGATGCCTGGCATTCGCCACGAGGTGTCGCCCTTGGCTCTTGCTCCGCTGAATGTTGTGACGCGGGTGCAGAGATTCCTGTAAAACGTTTGAAAATAAATATGAATAAATAAAGGAAGGAAGGTACAGAACAGCGCTAAACATCCAGTGAACGTCAGGTAATATCTGAGGGTTGCATACGCCGTTTCTTATGATATGCAGGGTTGACTAGAAAATTTTGAACCCATAATGAACTAAAAAAAACGCTACTACATCGACCGTGTATAGCTACACATTTTTGGCAATACAGTAATTGAATAGAATGTTGTATGTAGAAAACGATTGCGTATGAGCTTTTTTGAAGTGGATGGATGTTATCTAAAACTATTGTCACATGCCATTTCAGGCTGATTTGAAAGCTCATCTGGACTAATAAAATGATGCATTGATAATATATATTAACTGTATGGCAATTATACTGGAGTGTATAGGGGAACCTCTGCATGGTTAATTATTCTTTGTTAACCCCTTATGTCTCCAGAATGGAAGACAACAGGTTTTGTTAGTTCTGAGAAATGCACTTCATTAGTTGTACTATAATACATGTAAATTTGATTTTTTAATTTTGTCCATGTGTGAATTTAAGCATAAATGAAGAAGTAAAAAAAATAGTTCATGAAGACAATTTTTAGTAATGTTCTCAAAATGTGGCAAACATAAATTTACTCTACAAACTTTGGTAATTCTAATAAAGAGCTCTGCGTGCTGGTGGTGTCCCTTCTTCACTATGAATTTCTTTCAATGTAACTAACTTGATTATTCATGAATTTAACACATATATTGTTTATAAAGATAATTTTCATCAGTTTTTTAAACATGCAACATCCTGAGCGGATAGTATGATGAACACCTCATCATGGGCAGTTTAAAGAAGACAGGACCAATACCCAAGAGAATATTTTTCTTTTGCTATAATAATGTTTGCAGCAGATGCAAATTGGCAACTTAATAATGCTTTCTTTAATAGCTAGGTCATTCAGCCTTCAAGAGATTTTTTCAGTGCAAAAGTATGGCTGTTATTGCTGAAGGTTATGATCCCAAGTGGGGAGCTATTTTTGCTGTGACCCCACAGTTGGTGCACACCAGGGTCACAACTGTTGCATATGGGATATTCTGGGGTTACAAGTATGCACTCCTGTAGAGGAAATTTTGCTACCATTCCAGAGTTACACTTGGTGCACAAATGTGAAATAACAGGAGCATCACACAAATCCACCAACTGTAACCTTGGTGTAACTTATTTGTTCAGAAATGTGACCCTGAGTAATCCTGGTGTGAACACACAATTTAAATGGAAAAATTGTTGTACTGGCAGGACTTTTTGTGGAGCAAAATTTTGCTGACCAACAGATTTTTGTAACCAGGGTATTTTTCAGTGGAGCCTTGTGTTTACAAAAATGTCCAACATTATGCACATTCTTTGACACAGTTTTCACCGCAGGGCTACATCAGCAAATCCCACAGGTAGAAAAAATTTCCATACCAGTGTAATTTTTTTTTATCCTCTGGATTTTTGTATGGCAGAGTTTCTGTTCACTGGATTTTAATCCTGTGGGTGCAAAAATGCCTTTGTTATAATGCACAAAATGGCAGATATTTGCATGCCAATATCCACCATTTCAAGTTTTTTTTTTTTTGAATTGAAGTATTCAGCTCAGCATCAGAATATGTAATATTCAGGTGAATATAGATGAATATTTAATAATAAATACCTACACCTGTAATATACTGGGTGTGGCTTGGCTGTATTTGTTATCCACATTAGTTTTTGCGTGGCATGGCTGTACAGTTGTGCAGCCACACCATGTAAAAACTTTTAGAAAATCAATTGAACTGATTTTGCAGAAGTTTTTGCATGGTATGGCTGCACAATTTTACAGCCATGGCATGCAACAACAAATGTGGTTAACCAATACAGCCAAGCCACACACAGTATATTACAGGTGTAGGTACTTATTTTTACATATTCATCTAATTTAACTGGAAATACTTCAGCTCACCATTGGACACAAAGCTGCTAGAGTCCAGGCTCTTGAAGAGATTTCACAATCATTTTCTCTCCATGTCAGAGAGCAAATCACAAGCACAACCAATCTCACAGAAATCAGGCAGCCAACTGACAATTTTTCTTGATGTCTGAGACTGTTGGCCTTGATAAGTTTCCACATGGATGAGTCTTCTGGGTGGCCTGATGGATGGCCTTGATCTGATTTTTACACCTCAACAATTTCTCCATGCTTATCTCAAGGAAATCTGTGCTGTGATGCCTTAGTAATGCATTTATAATGTGTGAGGTTTCCTGAAGGGCTCAACAAATTCAAAATTCAGTGTAGGGTTAACTTTTGATGCCAAAATAACTGGGATTTTACCCCTTTCTCCTGCAGGGCATTATGGAACTGTCCACCCATGATGGATCATGGGTGATTCACCCATCACATCANAAATAACTGGGATTTTACCCCTTTCTCCTGCAGGGCATTATGGAACTGTCCACCCATGATGGATCATGGGTGATTCACCCATCACATCACCCATGATACATCATGGGCTCCAATTGTAATGCCTAAGTATTTGCTGGGATCAAATGGGTCATTGTTGATGGGGTTTGGGTGTAAATATAGGTATATATATAGATAGGTGCCACTTGTCCATGCCACTTAATTGTCATAATGCAATGCAATTCAAGTTTGTTTGAATCATTACTTATCTTGCAGAATAAGTTTCAGTTACTGCTGTTTACTCTTCTCCATTGCTCAGGGGAACGGATTATAAATGCTGCTTAGCACTCATCTCACCTCGCATCATCCTGAAAGCAATGCGCAGCAGAAAGCACCCAAGACGACTTGATCAAGACCCCGGAACAATGATGAATAATGCCTGTATCTGAATTCAAATCGGATCCCGGTTGCAGAGAAAAGAAGGACTCAATTCTGACTATGTACCGGCGATGGTACGCGTCTTCCGGTGATAGTTTCCGGCCTCCCAAGAGAAGTCTTCCTGGTTGTGATCCTGGAAGGTCTTTTATTGGGTCTGGTTTATTTGGATAAACCGTCACTTGTTCTTTGTGCCAACGGATGATTGAGTAAGGGTAGATATTCGACCCACTATTCCTGTCGACGCTGAAGAAGTATTCTGCAAAACTTGGTGATATTTGGTACACTGAAACAGGAGTATGTAGAATATATATAATTCAGCGTTTAATTTCCCCTGAATACGTGTGAAGTTGGACCTTGCTGATTTTCAAATCTTTCTGTATGTTTATTAATTGCTACCCATTAATTAAACCATACAGCAGTATACTGTACTGCGAGTCATATATACTGTATATGTAGACCTATCTTTATAATTTCAAGACTATATCCCTTCAAAACAATGTGTATCGGTGATTCAAATTTTGAGAATCTTTGGGAAATATATGCTTTCTTTGGTGACCGGAGAAAGATGAAACCGTAGAAATAAAAAAGTACTATTATAAATAGGAATGAAATCAGCGATAATTCGTTACGACGTTGCCGGAGCATTAATATGCAGTGACGTCAACTTGAATATTTTTAGCGGGTTACTTCAGATCTATTCGTCTGAGTACTGTATATTATTGCTGATTGAAAATTTGTCAGTAATTTTGGTCTCATGTACAGCAGTCTTCCACTGTTCAACAGTATGTACGGCTTCCTATATATGATGCTTGGTAATTTGGCTGTAAACTACGAAATGCAATTAATATTTCTTGAAGTACAGCGCCGATGTCTGAATGTATATCATGTCTGCCTCTATGAATAATATTGGAATCAATTTATTCACCAGCACTGAGATACCGATAATCACAATTTATATTGCGGAAAAATAGGAGAATGAAAAAAATCAAATGTACTGCATGGTTCATAAAGCATGTGCTGGCAAGTATTCATGAATTATAATTTTCTTGTTTGATGATGGCTTCTTATTGCGATTATGCCGCAATAAACACAGCTACGAATTGAGATTATAACTACGATGAAGTGGAAGAATTGAATTGAATTTTATTTATTTATTCGGTATACAGTATATTAAGCTTTCATGGTCCCCCATTTACGGAATATGTGTATGCGCGTGCAGTACAAGTAAAATCGGTTTAAAATCCGAAATTATGGTTACAATATTATAAAATTAAACATTGTACAGTACATATATTATGAATTTCTTACACCAATCTGCCCAGTGCGGAATCGTTGCTGGATATTCAGATACCTGCGGTAACACCAGGCATGGAAGACACAGAAGCGCCAAAATTGCTATCACTTTAAAAGACATGGCCATCTTAAAATGCATCACCTGCTGTATGATGGAACTGCACTATAGATTCTCTTTGAAAGCGCGTGTAACAAGATGTGAAGTTCAAGGAACGAATTTCTCCCCCTCGACAGCAAGTGCAGTTCCCCCTCGCGCAGTTCCAAGCAGCGGATTTCATGCCCGAATAACACTGCTGCGACTACGATGAGCCGTTGAAAAACGTGAACAGAATTCAGTGAGTGCTGAAACAGGGCAACAAAATTTATTTTCTTTCTTCTCACAAAAGAAAGAAAACACTATCGTATCATATCGACGTCCCTCGCACATTAGCAGAAAATGGTGACATCTATCTTTCAATTGCAGAACTTATTTCACCAGTCAATGAGTACATCGAGGAATATGGTATTGCGACCTTCAAGCTATCTCGAAAAGGTTGCCATATGACAAAAAATGGTGCTTTCCCGTGGCTCGCGCATCAGAATCGATATCGCGGACCATTTGCATTGAAAGGGTGAGGTTGGTAATGCTGCCGAGCGGCACCATTTTACGTGCGGGAATGCGGCCGACACGTTGAATCCGTGATGGCTTTCGGGAATGTTCGGAAATCCACAGTTTCTCTCGAATTTCCCCGTAAACTAGGTGATCTTAATACGGTGCTTGAACGCGTGGAGCGTGAAAATCGAAGTGAATTAGTGAATTTCCGGATATCTGAGCCCAACTCTCTTCTGAAGGAAGTGATGAGTCGCTCGATTTTATTTCGAAAGGCGTGGCATTTAAGACAGAGTGTGAGTCCCCGGAGATTCCTGTATCATGACCCAGATCACGATCACATTGAAGATGCATCTGTCCAGGATCGACGGATTCTGTATGAGCACCATATTCCTACAACGCTTGCCCAGAAGGCCTTGCTCGCACTTGGGACGACCATTGGAGGTCTGATGAACCCGGCACGCGGCGGTGAGTAAAATATTCATCTTATCCGCGGATGGTTGCTCATTCATTTTAGCCCCTTTCACCCAGTAACGTCCCATACCGTTTCCCGCTTGTTTCTACGGATTTCGTAGCAGGATTAAATAGCAATTTGCTGAGACTTTCGTATCCCGCCACCACATGGCAATTTTAACGAAACCCAGAACCAGTGTCGGCCGTGTGAAGGTTTGATACTCTGGATTTTTGCTTTGAGGCCAGAGAATGCACCTGTTCTCTGTCTTGAAATATCGAATGCTTCACACCCAAAACTGGCGCTGGGGCTCATACCATCTATGCTGATTATTATAATCTCGTTATAATGATTCTTACAACGGATTTGTTTTTTCGGTCCCTGTCCGATAGCCACAATGTTATTTTATTCAAATTTTAACGAATATTTGCTTATACTGCACTGTAATGATGCGTCATTTAAGGTCCGAAACGTTTTGTTATAACGCGACACTACGGTTCTATACTAAATTCGTTTAATTTTGCTGTATTCACGTTCCACCTGCACGCGATTATTTGCCTTTTCAATTTCTTCGAGAAGTGCCGAGAGTGGCTCAGGTTAAATTGGTGGGTTGTTCATACCGATGGCATTTTGCTATAGCATCTAGAAGTTTAGAAAACCTCTTGTACATCAGTTGATTCTTCCTTTGCTGGACACGTGTGTTCCGTTTTATGATCTTCGAGGGAAACAATTAGCCGTTCTGTATTGGCGCGTTCATTCGTTGTAGAAGAAATTATGGGGAGTTTTCTCATATTATTATTATATTATTGTATTATTATTATATATTCATTATTGGAGTGTTCAACAGACTTCATAGCGGTAAATGGGGAAACTACCGGAATGTTCGCATTACGAGCAATGCACAAGAAGATGCTCGATGATGATGAAGGGCGACAGATATTGATGTAAGAAAGTACTGTACAGTACTGTAAAGCGAAAAGCTCATTCTCATTAGGATTGTATCAACAGGGATCGTCCACGGATAAACACAACTCACGTTGATTACGACCGGCTGCGAAAACTGGATAAATCTACGTTAGGAGCGACTTACGTGGATTTTCTTGATCGGCACGTGAGGAGCTGGTAAAAAATCAGGTTGTTCCCTGAGTTATTTTTGTTTTATTGACTAGAACTTGGATCCAGATGGTCGACTACCGGTTCGTTACGTAGACGACGATGAACTGAGCTACGTTATGCAAAGGTACCGAGATATCCACGATGTGACTCATGCCGTATTCGGGATGGATGTGAAATTGTTGGGTGAAGTGGCCATCAAATGGATTGAAGGTATTCAAACCGGTTTACCCATGTGTCTCGGGGGTGCGTTACTCGCCCCATTGCGATTCAGACCCAAGTAAGTTTCAAGCATCTAATCAGTTCTAAGTTTGTGGTGCTGCCAGGCTTCTTCGTTATTTTTTTTCTTAATGCACTGCGATTTGCAAAATCTTGAAGTTTTGAAGTCCAAAAGAAAATCCGTGGGTTTTCATCACTCGATTACCTTTCTTCAATGAGTTAACGTAAAAGTAATCGGTAGTTCAGCGGAAGTTGTTCCAAAACTTCTTGTAACTTTCGTAATTCCATCCATTGGTTCAGCTTTATGTCGTGAAAGATGTAAGTGCTACTATGTCAGGCTTTCATCATTGCTGCGAGGTCGACGAAAGCAGCTTTAATTAGAAAGTTCCCTCGAATCACTGAGAAACATCAACTTCGACGAAATTGTATGAGGCGTCGAAGAAGCGTGTTTACAGTTGTTAGTTTTTATTAAACTTTCCTGTAGCACCGTACCTCAAAAATTCGATGTGTTCAAGAAGGACGCCAGTGTATCCGACTCATTCACTATATTTCGTTTCCGTAGGACGCGACAAAAATACGTTTCGGAGGTTTTGCCATGGGCTCTTGAAAACGGCTTTAAAAGTAAACTTCTATTGAACGCTTACTTCGAAAAGCGTTGGGAGCAGAACGTGGGTGACTTCAGAAGAGAGTTCTGCATTACCGAGTTTCCCGGAAGCACAAGCGTATCTGGACAGTCGACGTAGCATCTACACTTTTTACTTGCTGTAAAGCGAGGATTGCAGCTCCATTTTATTGCAGTTGATGAAGTAATTTCATTCGATAAAATTTCCAAATTAATCCTTTACAGATCTTTGTTTTTGTGAGTTCTGTTCCGTTTCCGTTTTCCGCTATCATGGCGGATGTGAGCGCGAAAGTCGTTGCTCAAACGCAGGAAGCTCTCGGAAAGTACGTGAAAAAGCCTCCTTTATCGGAAAAGTTGCTGAAGAAGCCGCCTTTTCGATTTCTTCATGATGTCGTCAAAGCAGTGCGTCGCTCCGTTTTAAAACTTTCCAGTTGAGCAAATCCTTCATGATTTCTGTTGTTACAGGTGATGGTTGAAACAGGATTTTTTGACGGGTTGTACACACCTGACGAGCTTAATTCTGATCTGGTGAAGGAGAAGGAAGCCAAAATAGCATTCCTGCAGAAGGCCATTAATGTATTATGTGAGTTCTGTTTCTTCCCGAGATCTGTACCTTTTATTATCTTCTAGTATTCGACCCGTTTCAGCAATCGCGACTGGAGAAACCATAGCCGCGAAGCCATCCAAGATAGTTGCCGGACATGAAGTAGAGAAGACCAATGAATTTCTTCAAGCTCTTGGCAAAGCCTTGTCGAAGAAGGTAGAATTCGATGTAAAATCTATCAATCCCAAGTACGTTGTTATAATGTTTAATTTCTTTTAGACAAGTTCCAAAGATGCGGTTGCCCGAGTTCTAGCCGGTGAAAAGCCGGGGGAGAAGAAAAAAGCCACCAAAGATAAGCCAGCAGCAAAAGAAACTGGTAAAGAGAAAGCTGGAGCCAAACCAACGGCGAAACCAAAACCCGAGGACGAGAAGAAGAAGCGACCAACGGTGGCTCATGTGAAATCGAAAGAAAAGAAGCCAGTAAACGAAAAAAGCAAAAAGTATGATGAGCTCGAGTTTTTCCAGTGATATTTATGCAGTTAATGCCTGTTTCTTTCTTCTTTTTAGACCTCTCGCGAAATCGAAGGAATCTCCAGTTCGAGAAAGTCTTGCTGCGAAAACCTCTCTTGATAGCCCTCTTGAAGAAGTCAACGGTGGAATTATGGGTTTTGGAGATACCGTAAGTTTTCCTCTATTTAATTTTCTTTCGAATATAACATGGGCAACCCACGAACAAAATGCGAAGGGGATAATTTGTCATTTTGGATGTGTCATCTTTGCCTTCGGTTTGGTTTTTTATTACTTGTATTTTGTGCAATTAATTTATTAGTTCAGATTACACATTTATTCGGTTTTTGTGCTTGGAATAAGTTGCGATGTTCATTTGATTTATGGTTATAAGTTCGTTAAAAGAGAACTTGCCTTGGTCAAGTTCTGTGCTGTATTCGGTTATTGGGGCAGTAGGTGACGGTCATGCTGGTGTATGCGCAGCTAATGTGCTGTTTTTTGCGTTGGCGTCTAAAAATTTTGCTGAAATGTAGCCATAGAATCGAAGAGCAAAGATAAGATTTTCAAGGAGTAAGAATGGATTGCCTGCTGTATTTGAATAAGAATATTGACGCTCAGAAGTAGGATTTTTTTTCCTGGAGCGAATTTCGTTCTCATCCGTTCCTTCACATGTTTCGGGTAGTGCATCTTCCGGTTTTTTTTTTCAGGTACCGTCATCTCCCTCCCATATAGGACAAATACCAGGTACAGTAATTCATTTCCATTATTCTAAATACGAGACCTATAATTCATATCTTCGTACCCATAAGGCGATGAAGATGTCGAAACCTTTGGTGTGGTTGAAAAAGCTATCGATGAACTAAACGCTATCAGTGGCTCTCAGTCGAATATAGAGGTGACCGAAGAGTACCAACCAAATGAACAATCATTAGTAAATAGCGACGAAGTTGCCTTCGATGATTTTCGCACGGAGCCCGAAAGACCTACTACGAGCAAAGCGGAGACTTTTTCTTTAGATGCAGTTTTTGAAGGTAAAAAGCCTTGCTTAGGTGCAAAGTTCACTTTCTCTGCGTGAACAGCAACACGCTTCAGCACTTCGGTTGTCAGCACTGGATATGTTCAGTTCACAATACATTTTATTCTCCCACAAAAAAAATTCCCATATTTCCCGAGAGTGGCACGTGTTTAACCTTGATCTTCGACGAATGGTTTTATTCATTATGTAGTAAGTAACGAGTTTCTACTAATACTCAGATCCAGCGCTGGAACCAGAAGCGCCTTCTCGAATTTCGTTGCGGACGGCTGGCGAACGACCTCAGAGCCGAGTACATCCGACCTGTGAGTTCTCATACCGGTATACTGAACAGCTTTTTTCTTCTCCCGCAATAATTTCAGTATCGTTTTCCTCTGCAGTTATCGAAGAAGAAGCCCCTGTGGCATCCCGAAACGCCCCGAAAACCGCGGCACCTTCTCGTCCTGTCAGCCGGATTAATACCGGGGGTGAGAATTCGGATTCGGATAAATATGAAATTTACCTCTGTAAATAATGACTCATAAGTTCATTGTGCGAAAAATTTTTGAATATAGGATTCATTTCAGAAATTTTCTGTACCATTTTGTGATATATCAGCTCATTCATGACATTCGCCTTCTGTATAAGATTCGTTGAATACGATCGGGTTATTTCCGTTCAGTTTTGCCTTTTTTCAACTCAAACCCCTAATTCAGTAACATGTTTCAGCCAACATCATGACGTCTAAACTGACATGATAAAATTCAATCTAAATCTATCTAACCCGGTCAATACTGGTTTGAAACCAAGCCGATGTAACGATCTTCAGGCTACGCTCACATGGTTGGGAAGAACCCCTCTGACGGAGTTCATTACCAAAAATTGAAGCGCATGTATGCGATCAGCGGGAACGTGTTTTGAAGTGAACAATATCACGATACGCCTGTATTTGGGTCTTCAGTTTCAAGAGCTGCCAGTAGTCGACCAAGAACTGGGCGCCCCGTCAGTGCCCGTCCTGCACCTCCTAGGGTCCGTGATAAAAACGAGTTTGTGGAAGACCAATCACTGCATCGTCCGCAGACCGGCAGAGTTGCCAATGTCATGCTTGTTTCCGCGGAGAAGGAAGAAGAAGACGAAGACGACAATTTTGTCGTCCAGGAGAATGGTGGAGATACAGGCAGCGAAATTGCTGTGAGTATTCTGTTTTGTTTTTTTTAACACATAGGTCGCTCTTTCTAAGCTTTCAATATGGAGGAGTGTTGAGTGTTGGAGCGGATTGGAATTGAAATTGAATTTAGGTGCTTCATAAAAAGATGCTTTTCAGACCTACAGAGGTGCTCTTGTGCACGAGCTTTCTTTCTGTAATGTCACACAGGTGTCGCCTGAATCACGGAATTGATTGCGAATTACCGTAGTTACGTCGTGTATCAAGTATCGGAAATCAATTTTTGGTCATTAGCGATTCCGTTCGAAATCGCATATTCAAGATTTTTTTTTTTCAGGGCTTGCTCTCCGGTGATATTTTGTCAGGGCAGGTCGAGGGGGAACATGGCGCTCTTGTGTCGCAAATTCTGGCCACCAAAACCGAGATGGAAACCCAAGCTGGACCAGGAAGATCTGTGGAAATCGTAAGTTTTTTAAATCAAGTCGACGTTGTACGGTGCACTGAAATGAGGATCTTTCTCGAAAACTGTACACAGGAGAAAGCTGAGGGCGCTGAAGCTACTGGCTTTGGGGCCCGTGAGAGAGAAGCCACCTCTAGAGACATCGCCAGCACGCAAAAGGCTGTCCAAGGTCTGACGCGAATAGCAAATCCCTTGGCACACTTGATGGAATATTTGCAAGAAGATGTGGAAGCCATGAACAAAGAATTGGAACACTGGATCAACGAGAAAAACCAGTGCAACCAAATATTGAAAATGCAGCAAAGGTACTCACCTACACCTGCTTTACACCACACTTTTAGAACAACAAAAGTAGGTACACCTACTTTTGTTGTTCTTAATCTCTGCGTACTTCGAATGCTTATTGCAAGGGTGCCGCGGGTTATTCAAGTTTCGTTAATTTCAGCGAGTTACTTTCGCGGAGGTAATTTTATTAAATCTTTGTTGAGGTTGAGGCAACAGCTGTAGAATACCTCACTGGTACTCACCAGTGAAGTACCAGATTGCTTCAGTGTGCTTATTGCAGGACTGACCAAGTCCCTTTTGCAGAGAAATGGATCAAGGGACTGAGCCATTGAAGACTGTCCTGCAAGAATTGGAAAGCTCCATTGTCGACCAGTTGGACAAGATCAGTGCAATTAAAGCGTCCATCTTACGCAACGAAGAACGAATTCATCGACTGCTGAAGAGCACCGGATCGTCTGTGAAATAGTGAACTGTTGATTCCCACGTCCCTCATTTCCACAAGAAAGAATACTACTGTACTTGTCAACGCCGGACTTTCTCCGTGATATGCTTTTCTGTTACCTCGGTGTCGCATGACTCCTGTTCTTGTCCATTAGGATAGGTTTCAGATCGAGAAGTTTCAGCTCATATTCTATTTTGATTCAGCTGACAATCCACGAATTGAGTTTGGGATTTGAATTTTTGAGAACCGAGATGCATATATGGTTGAAATTTTTTGTTTGCCATGTGACGGTTCGCCAGTATTCGGGGGTGGACCACTTGAAGAATCTCGGAACAGCATTGATCTGTTGTCCGAATGTCGTTTCTAGTCGAATGTGACGATTTTGAATCCCTCTGTGATCGCATGCGGGAATATTTTTTGCCGTCCAGTGCACGAAAAGCTTTCTTTTTTTGCGGAACAAGCACGCTGGAGCTGCGTGGCAGCTTGAAACATTTTACCTGATGTGGAATTGCACCGCCAGTTGTGTGTTCGATTATTTATTCGATATTGCGGTCTTTGATGATGAATTCACCGATTGCTGTGAAGTGTTCTAATTTATTTTTATCTTTTCTTTTATTTCGGAAATTTTTGTGCATCGCGCTCAGTTCCTTCGTGGTTTTTCGTGACCGAAATTCACATCTAGGGATTCCTGTTCCGAAGTTCGACGCATCAACAGGTGAGCTATATATTTCTTATAATGACCTATTTTCTACTGTTTTCTGGGCAATTTGAAAGTTTGTCTGCTTATTGAAAAACTGTTCAAAAATACTTTTTGGATCAGTATTGATCGATTTGACTTGGCCTATTAAAATGCCTCGCCTCGTCTTTCGAATCTCTTTTTGTGTGTCTTTCAAAGCTGTCTTTTCGTATTCTCAGTAATAATTGACTAGTCCCTTATTGATTGAATCTTTTTGTAAGTTATCTGATCAATTGACTTATAATTTGCTCAAGTCGCCAGTATTGGAGAGAAGAATCCCTTACATGCCATCAAGTATCATCTTGCAGTAGTTCCACTGTTCATGCATAGATTGAGTTCAGCATGTTTCAAGGTAAATGCATAGTATTTTCGAATCGTACATTTTTTGGAACGCTGTACCGCAGTTCTTGTAAATATTTCAATTATTAATTAAGACCCGGACACAATTAGTATATTTGAAAAAATTGGATAATTAATTAATTAAATTTAATAAATTATTAAATTACCACTATTATTATAGTACGTACTGATGTGCACATACAGTCCCAATTTTCCTCCCGACGAAACTTACAAAATCTATTTATTAGTTTTATTTTTCACATTACTATGTATCAGTTACATTGATATTAAAATGTAAAAATTATTTAGAATAAAATCATTTTTGGATTCTGAATGTCGAGATGTTATTATTTATGTGAGATTATTAGCGATTTTTACGCCCACGTAGATGGCCTATCAAGACGGAGCTGGTTGGGGAAGCCAAGGAGGTTATCAGAGCCACGGAGGCTACGGTGGCGGCTTCGGGGGCGGTCAGATGAGTGGTGGTGGTGGCGGCGGCGGCGGTGGCGGCAGTGGCTACGGCAATCCTGGTGGGATGAACAAGCAAACTCTGACCATTCCTTCCTCGTCCGTGGGCCGACTCATTGGCCGCGGCGGCTCCAAAATCCGCGAACTCCAGGACACTACCAACTGCCAGATCAAAGTTGTGCAGGGAGACGCTGCTGGGCCCGGCAGCACGTTCGTCGACGTGTCCTATAACAATGATGACGACTTCGAGCACGCCTCCTCGCTCATTCGTCAGGTGACCGAAGAAACTGATGCCGGTCGGTACCAACCGCGCGGTGGCGGCGGCGGCGGCGGTGGAGGTGGCGGAAACAGCTACGGCGGTCAGGCATTTAGTGCGGCTATTCCTGATAACTGCGTTGGCTTGATCATTGGCAAGGGGGGTGCGAGGATCAAGGAGATCGAGAATCGCGTCGGCTGTTCAGTCCGAGTCAAGAATGACGGCAATGGGAGTCACTTCGCGGAGGTCCAGGGCTCAGAAGAGCAATACAAGCAGGTCCAGGATATTATTAACGAGACGGTGGAACGTCAGAGAAACCGTCAACAATACTAAGCACTTTTGAGCCCCGGATTCCAGTTCTGTTCTTCAATGAGGGAAGGCGCGAGCGAAAAGAAAGATAAAAATCTTCAAGATGGACGTTTGGGAGAAGTTGAAAGAATCGTATATGGATCTTGAGAAAGCTTTATGCGCCTCTCGAGCTTCATTACTTGAGTTTTTTCTCGTTTTTTGATGCGTCCGAATTTCGATTTGCTTCATTATTCAAAGGAATCCTGTCAGGTGTGAGTATGAGGAATAAAAGCACTGAAAAAATTATTTGGCCGTTATTTTTTTCTTTTCAAGTTTTTCCATCTTTCCCTCCTAGAGAACAGCATGGAAGAGCAATTGGGACAGGGGATGGGGATAGATGCAGTTCATTCAGCCCACCTGTATGATGCACTTCCTTGATTCTGGCCTCAACTTATGAAGTGCTGTGAGGTTTTAATGAAGAATTTCGGCGAAGTCCCTGATGCGAAGGGTCCAATAACTTAAATTTTGTCGTCAGAATTGGAATTGAAAGCGCTAAAATTCGTCAATAGTACTGCCGGTGTACTGTGTAGAAATTGATTTGTAATCCCTGTTCGAATAATTTAACGAAGTGCCCCAAGCGCAAAATTTAGGTTGAATTACGTATGTTTCCTAGTTCCATTAAGTTGGGGTTGTCCAACTGTACTTGCAGGGGCTTTGTCCGGAGTCCTGTTTCTCACTGTGAAGTAGACGGTAAAAGGCGCCATGGTTGACGTAGCGTGTGTAGGGGTCTAGGTATTCTAGGGATAGTTCCTCGGAATGAGGTTATACGTGTACAAATGTGATACATTACTGTATTGTTATTTATTTGTAATTTACCCACTGGGAGCCTTATGAGGAACTGTTCGGTGTTCTTTCAGATGAAAATAATCCTGTCAAGCTTCTTCAAGATTTTTTTCGTTCCGTGTCTGTGACGAAACATGCGTCGTTCTGTGATTAAATGCAGGGTGTTATTGTGTGGATTCAGCGTGAGCGTCCTTGGGAGTTTCTGGCGATCGTTCCTGCCGAAATTGCGAAGACATTGATCGATCTTCCCACGGCGCATGTGTGATCATCTGAAATATTTCAAACCGACTGGATTTACTCTGAACTTTATTGTGATCTTCGAATTTTTTCTTCAAATGGCTGTCCTCCATATTCGCGCAGGGATCACATTTACCGATCATCTAGCTTACCTGAAACGAATTACGAAGGATTCTGGACTGATCCAACCAAATCCAGATTTATTCATGATCAATACCCCTTTCCGTATGTATGCCGAAGCTGAGAAATACGCGAAAGCGTTTCAGAATGAAACTGTGAAGCCAATTTCTTGGCTCCCACCGATGAAGAGTACCGTCGGTCTTCCTGCGGAAGAATTCTACGAGCTGTACCGTGAGGTTGAGGAGTTGGTTCGCGAAGTCAGGTCTCAAGGCAAGGCTCTTCGGCTGGAAATCGATGCAGACATCATCAGAGAGAATAATCAAATAGCTATTGCATCGGCTGTTAGAACACTCCAATCTTGTTTATCCGTGGAGTTAATGAGTGAGTGGCTGTAATGAGTTTGTTGGTGATTTTAAATTTTCTCACTCGTCGTCTATCTTTTGCTAGAATGTTTTAAATCGGGAGAAAATGACACCGACGAATGGCTGAAGATGGACGGATTTTTTTTGCCTCCGAAATGTAAATTCATATGTGCGGACTGGGATGATTTTGTCTCCATCGATTCATCGTCTGGACCGTTCTACAACTTCGTTGTTGTCGATCCCCCGTGGATGAACAAGTCCGTGCGTCGTGTGAGAAAGAAATCGAGAAGTTATTCAACAATGGTGAATTACCACTTACTCAAATTGTGCTCCTCGAGGATTATGGCTCCTGGTTGTCTGCTTGCTGTTTGGTGCCCTCCAGTCAAGTCGCAGATGACATGGGTTCAAGATAATCTCCTCCCGGCGTGGAATTGTAAATTGAAAGGCACTTGGTATTGGTTTAAGGTAAATACTCGCTAAGATAACGCCTGATTATTTTATACGATTATTTCTCAATGCTGAAAAGGTGACTCAGTCTGGAGAACCAGTCAAGCCCTGGTCTCCGAAGATGACTTGGGAAAATAAGAAATCATTCGAAGTTTTGTTCATTGCCACATATGGAGAGAACGATGTGAACATTCCGCGAGAACATGTGATTGTGTCGGTACCTTCTGCAATTCATTCCCACAAGCCACCGCTTGAAGGTAAGATTTTTATTGTTTGTTTGCTGGGTTATTTTCTCTTGTGCTGTTTTACTACTGTATATGGTACTACTGCATAAAGAAAGATCAACATTTTCAAAGTCTAGGCCGGAATTTATCCCGGTACATTCTAGGAAACCTAGTACATTACATGCCTTTTGAGCGACAGTCGGTTCGTGACTCGATTTTGCTGCGTTATGAACCTACCAATTATAGAGGAACCGTCATTTATTGCCGCATCGAATCACTTCTTTCGTTTTTACTTCGAAGGTTGCGCTTGCCGTCCAAAACTGATCATTACTCTGTAATTATCAGTTTTGGACGGCAAGCGTATATACTGTTACTTTATTTTAGATTTCAGTCCCTATTTTTAACAGATAACGGTGGATTAGAAGTACAGTATATTGTGGGGTTTCTGTTTACTTTATGCTTCTCATGCTCAAGTTATGGTATTGATAGATGTGCTGAAACAGTACCTACCAGCAAATTCCAAAAAGCTGGAATTGTTCGCTCGAGGTCTTATCCCAGGTTGGACTTCGTTTGGCAACCAAGTGCTCCTTTTTCAGTCCTGCAGTGACGGCATTTTTCAAGAAATTAAATCCTGACGAGGACTCAAGGTGAGATTTCTGAATGAATGAATCAATTTATTCGTAAAATATCCGTGCCTATCGTAGCGTGCGTGTTGATGGCAGATAGAAATTCTCCTCTTAGAACGAACGTATCCCTTGATTTATAACTTTTACTGGAGCTTGAATAATGGGTTTTTCATTAGTTTAATTTTTATTGATCACTCGTAATTTATTTTTGTGATAGACGCATGTTTTGGTTGATGCCTTGATTAATCGAATAAATACGGTTGTCTTTTTTCCGTCAATTTGCATTAACTTGCGCATTTTGTCATTTTTCAGCTTTCCACTGATACGACGATGATACGAGTGGATGACTGAGTGAGTAATATTATCCCAAGATTTCTAGGATTCGTGCGGAAATGATGAATAAGCATTAGACCTGCAGCTGAAAAACTGTGATCGTTAAAATTGCAAACATTTTCTGACGAAGATTTTTGGAAAATCCGCTGAAACGAAAGCGAGATAATTCGCTAAATCAGGTTCATTCCCAACAGGCAGGCAATGCTGAGCAAAGTTGTATTCATTCTGGACGACGGAAAACCAATGTGAGCCTGCTTTTCAAAGAAATTAAGGTCAGTTTGATTTTTGGTGCTATTACGAATTTTGTAAATTTGTTGCGCACAAGAGTTTTCTCATCTTAATGTTAGGTTCGGTGTTTGACCTTTTTGTATTTCCAGAATTCATTCTGGACGACGGAAAATCATTGGAGATTTATTCTGGAGGTGAGTGCAATGCATCACATTTTTTTTTGTTGAAGTTTTTTCTTCAAATGATGAAAACGCATTAGACCTGCAGCTGAAAATCTATGATCGATATAGCTGCGAATTTTTCCTGAACGTGATTTCGATAATTAGCTTAATGTGATGACGATGAACCGCTGAACAGATGACTTCGTCGGCAGGGTTCGAGTAAAAAAGAATTCGTTGCCGAAACAGGTCCGCTCTAACATGGTAGCACTGCAAGAGATTAAGGTTTGTTGAATTGATATTATTCACCCTGGATTATTAGCTTTTTTACTGTGAGACGCTTCATTTCAGGTTTATGCGTGTGTCCTACTATGTTGCAGGAAGTTTGCTCTGAAGGTAAGTTCGAATGATTTTTTTTCTAGTTTCTGATTGTCAAATGATGAAGAAGCATTAGACCTGCAGCTGAAATAATGTGATCGATAGAACTGCGAAAATTTTCTGATTCAAATTTACCCGTACACAATACCAGTTGAATGATACGGCTAGCAACTGACGAAATATCTTCTATTTTTTGCAGTGAGGCCGTATACTGCCATCGATGATTGGAAGACCATTGTGAGCTTGCAGAATGTGAAGGTTTGTGAAATTTATAGTGCTCAGTCGATAAGTGAAATCCATTCAGTTCGAATTTTGTCACCGTTCCACTTCCTTTTTTCAGTTCCGTGTGGATTCTACTATGCTGCGACGAGTTTGTTCTAATGGTGAGTGCTTTGTTTCGCTCGAATTTCCAGACCTGAAATGATGAATAAGCATTAGACCTGCAGCTGAAATTACGTGATGGATAAAGCTGCAATTTTTCATCTCTGACGAAAAGCCTTTTAAATTTGGCTCGGTGTGTTGATGAAGTTGCACTTACTAGTTCTTTTTTCTCGGTAGATGGATGAGCGAACAATGCCTGAAAATAATTTATACTGAGAAAATCGGCCGAATTCGATTTTTCTCAGGATCAAAAGTGAGTGAAATAATTGCTTCTCACTTGGGTGTTATTAACCGAGCTTTTCTCAGGTTTTCCTGAAGAGATGAAGCACGTATAACTCACCAAAGAAGTCGCCGCACTCTTCGTTTTCGAATGTGAGTACTATATCTGTATATCTCACTAATCTCAGAACGAAGTTGAAATGCAACTACCGTACTGTATATGTATTTAATGTGATGATATCCTAATCCATTCCCTGACGACTGCTCCGGAATGCCGTTCTGGTGTTTCTTAACGCTGTCATACAAGTGATGCAATTGTCATAGTTACTCTGAATTTCCAAAATGTAACTCGGAAATAGTTCGGTGTCTTCGTTTTTAAGACGTTTTTCTTGGTTTCAGTTGACTTCGGAGGGTCATGCAAGTTCGTCTTTTGCATGACGGGAGAATTCCCATTCAATTGTGAAATCCTTGCCGATGAAAGATGACAGAAATGAGCTTCATCGTATCGTCCCCCCAAGTTCGAAGTGAGTGGAGATATTTGAAAGATCGCATATGTCCGAGTGATGATATCTAAATCCATTCCCTGATTACGGCTAATGAATACCGTTCTGGTGTTTCTTTCTGCTGTTACCTCAATGATGTTACTGTCATAGTTACTCTGATCGTTCAAATTATCATTCTACGGGAGATTTTTTTATACAGAATTTTTTTGAAGTTCTTTTATTACATTTTCAGATTTCCCAAGAATCTGCAGCAATGGCGAGAAATGCCATATAAATCGTTCGTTGAAGAAACCAGATGTGCATTGGCTGGAAATTTTTTACGCGGAGCAGGGCCTTTTTTATTTCAATCTCAGACCTGCATATCACGATGTTGACGGTTTTATTGTTCTGAAGGTGAGTGCGGCAGGCTTTACGCCTTACTTTTCATGAAATGATGAATAAGCGTTAGACCTGCAGCTGAAACTCCGTGATCGATGAAACTGCGAATTTTTCCTGAATGTCCCGTTCGCAAAAAGATTTAATGTTATTGACGGTATCGTGCTTTGCTTAAAAGGCGTCCATTTGCTATATTTTTGTTAGGCTGGCGAGCGAAATAATGCCGAAAATCTTACATCCTTCTGCCTGCCAAGATGAAATCTTTTTTTTTTTCCTTACGAATCAAGGTAAGAATGATTTATAGCTGATGTTTTTGGCTTTACTTACTCTTTTTTTTTTTCCTCGAAGGAATTATGCAACGCTCGCATTGAGCAGAAGTAGCCGGACTCATCGACTTGAACGGTAAGAAAGATATTAAACGCGAATTGAAATATTTTATCGTGATGATAATCTTAATCCATTCCCTGAAGACGGTTCCGGAATGCCGTTCTGGTGTTTCGTTTTCCTATCATCCCATTGATGTTACAGTCATAGTTACTCTGATCATTCAAAAATTTATATTATGACAGGAATTTTTCTGCACTCTCTGACGATCGTTCTCATCGTTTCAGATAGTGCTCGATTTATTCATGCCGGCTTCGAAAAAGCGAGGAATCGGTCTTCGAGGTTTCCAACCGAAAGAAAGGTTCGTTTATTTTATCTTTTCTCAAGTTGAAGCTTACAGTATTTGCTAAGGTGAATACCGTGTATTCGAGTGATGATATCCTAATCCATTCCTTGAAGACCGCTCCGAAACGCCGTTCTGGCGTTTCGTTTCGCTGTCAATTTTATGATGTTTGTTTTGTAGCTCTGATATTTCGAATTATAACCCTTAAAAAATGAAAATATTGCTTTCGAATTTTCTGAGTGTTGGCTTTTCATTTTTTAGGGGATGTCCCTGGAAATCCTACCCGTGGAGGAATACCGCTGTGGTATTGTGAACATTTTTCTTGAAATAAATTGGTTTTCTGCAATATTGAGTTTCTCCGTGTTGTTGATTTCGCGTACGCTACAGAGTGTCTTATCTATGCACGTAACAACTGAAGGAGGGTCAGTGATTATTTCATGTGGTTCCGTATTTTTACTTGCTTCGATGTACCCTCTATTCACTGAAAATCTCAGGCATTTTATTGAGTGAGGTTGAAAGGACGTTAAGAATGTCGAGTGACGAAGGTGAAACTAAAGGAACAGCCGAGGATGCGACTGTGTCTGAAGACAAGAAAAAAACTTTCGCGGACTTGGTTAGTACTGCTGAAAGTTCTTCGTTGTTTTTGCGAATTATTATCTCCTTCCTGACTCTTACAGGGTGTCGTTGATGTTTTGTGTGAAGCCTGTGAGGTATTGAAATGGAAATCCCCTACCGCAGTACAAGTTGAATCGATTCCTCTCGTCCTAGCTGGTCAGTAGATTCTATCTCTATTTCCCATCTCTAGCTGTGCTGAGTAACATTTGTTGCTTTCTTAAGGCCGTGATGTTATCGGACTCGCAGAAACTGGTTCCGGAAAAACCGGAGCATTTGCTCTCCCAATTCTCCAGCAGTTACTAGATAAGCCTCAAGCAATGTTCGCCCTTGTTCTCACACCTACTCGGGAACTTGCGTTTCAAATTGCGGAACAATTCGAAGCGCTGGGTGAGGATTATTGATTATTTCCGGGCTAATTTGAGTTCTGCTATCTTAATCTTCCCGGATTTTCCTTAAAAACAAATACAATATCTGAAGTTCTCATGTTTTCTCTTCAATTTGAAATTCCGAGAAAAACCGAATTAAACTCGATGGATGGAACATTTGCGCCAGAGGCAGATTCAGTACAGTATTAATGATTGCGCGAACCTCAACTGAATTACTGTATTTATTTTTGTTTTGCAATGTGACCTTTTTTGTTATGCAATGGGTTTTGATGCCTCTTAATGAAAACAACTTTTTGTATGTCCCCTGACAACTGGCTGCAGAAATTAAAGAAGTTCATCTGCATATTTTCTCCTATCGTGTTCAGGGTAATTTGGCCTGGCTTACTAGTATTTAATTTTGTAGAGGGGAGTGTATTGGAAAATGATACGGGTACTGTATTTGAAAAATGATGCGCTGTAAAAGAAATTTCCTGGAAGCAAAAAAAAACCAGGAGAATCATGCGCGCGAAAGATAGTTGAATTACCTCTAAGCGTGCTTAACACTGCAAAATTAATTGCGTAGGGGAAAGTTTTTCGGAAAATGATCTCGGTACTATGTTTTAAATATGATGTATTGGGACAAAAAAATAAATTTCCGGGAAGCAGAAATAAAACCAGGAGAATCATGAGCGCGAAAGATGGTTGAATTACTTCATACACGCTTGCTTAACACTGTTGTCATGCGCATATCAACCGTTGTTCTCGTTGATGTCAACCTACCCAATTGTAGGATCTACAATAGGGATAAAGGTTGCCGTGGTTGTCGGAGGAATCGATATGATGGCCCAAGCTATCGCACTGGCGAAGAAACCACACGTGATAATTGCCACTCCCGGTCGACTGGTCGATCATCTGGAAAACACAAAAGGTTTTCATCTACGCCAGCTAAAATTTTTGGTATGCGTTCAGAAAATTATGCTTCTTTCGAAAATGTTTGGATTCTTCGCTCTTTTTTTTTAAATCTTGGCACTCGGCTAATGTTCTACCAAATTTTAGTATAATTTTTTTTTGGCTTTCTCGAGTCATTTTTTAATATAGTATTCTCAATTCATGTGAAGGCTGTGCATCTAAAATTAGGTAGTTCTACCTGAAGCATGTAGAACTATTTTCACCGAAACATTTCAACGTTACAGAGATTAACGATCTAACACAGTGATGTTCAAGTGTGAAGTTGGGGGATGCATGAATAGCATTTACGTATTGTGACGGACGTCGTAGACATTTTCGGGAATGAGTTCAAAGAATTTTAAAATCCACTATTATTTTTGTCCAGGTAATGGATGAAGCCGACCGTATCCTAACCATGGACTTCGAACAAGAACTCGATAAAATACTCAAGGTCATTCCCAAAGAGCGCCAAACGTTACTTTTCTCAGCAACAATGACGAAGAAAGTCGTCAAGTTGCAGCGAGCATCCCTTGTAGACCCGGCTCGAGTTGAAGTGTCATCCAAATACCAAACAGTGGAAAAACTTTTGCAATACTATCTTTTCATACCAGCGAAGTACAAGGATTTATATCTTGTGCATATACTGAATGAGCTGGCTGGAAACTCGATGATGATTTTCATGAGCACCTGCAATACTGTCCTGAGAACTGCCTTGATGTTGCGCAGTCTGGGGTTTGCCGCCGTTCCGCTTCATGGGCAAATGTCTCAGACGAAAAGACTTGGAGCTCTCAATAAATTCAAGTCAAAGACCAGAGCAATACTTATCGCCACAGACGTCGCTTCGAGGTTGGTTGGATGGGTTATCACAGTAATTATTTGAGGATTCTCTTCACAAAATTTCATCTTCATTTTTTTTAACCTTTGGAACACAATCTTTCAAATTTCTCCTCACAAACTTTTAAATCCGGTTTGTTTGCTGTGATAATTCTCTTGTGGAAAAGTTGCGTGTGACTTTCTGGGTGAAAATTACTAGCTAAATATTATTATCTTCCCCGTAAACTGAAGCCTGGATACTTTCTATTGTATTTTTGAACCCCTCCTTGGGCTAACATCAAAGAATCCGTAACTGATCTGAGTTCATCTCATTTTCATTTTCTTCTGGTGCGATGATTTTGCCTTGCAAATGAATGGAAATTCACTGGAATCTGGTGACCCGACATTTTCTGCATAAACAGAAAATTTCTTGGGGAAGATATCATTTCTAAACACTCGACCAGATATTAACTTGTTCTCCGTTGAGAGTTCTCAGGTCTTTAGCAACTCTTACAATACAATACAATACAATGCATCAGAAATTATCAGTTAGGAAAAAATTAGTGAGAACTGATGAATAAGTATAATAAAAAAGAAGACCACCGCGTACGCACTATGCCACTGCTATACAAAAAGAAAAGCGCTGTAACATGCGCTGAAAGAAACCCCGAAGAACTACTTTCTTGACTCTGGCAAACGGAATTGATTACTGCGTACCCTCGAGGGCTACTCCACGTACAGTATTTTAATTTCGAGAAGGGTACACTTATTGGAATAGCTTGGAACTTTTGGTCTTACCCTAGTCATTGATTTTTATTTTTTCAGAGGACTCGACATCCCGCACGTGGACTTGGTTTTGAATTTTGACATACCAACGCATAGTAAGGATTACATTCATCGTGTTGGCAGAACTGCTCGAGCTGGACGTTCAGGGAAATCGATTACTTTTGTCACTCAATACGACGTTGAATTGTTTCAAAGAATCGAACACTTGATCGGCAAGAAGCTTCCTTTGTTCCCCACTGTTGAAGAAGAGGTCCTTGTCCTGAGCGAACGAGTGAACGAGGCTCAACGGGCTGCTCGATTGGTGAGGAAATATTCATTTTCGTATTTGATTTCGCATTTTCGGGGAACTTCTCATGAATTTTGAGATTACGTTCAAACATTCATTGAAGGCGACCACCGACATTCATTTATTTTAATTTTATTCTCTTAATTATAAAGTAACCTAGAATTTTTTCAAGACTATGAGTGTTTTTCGTTGTTAAATTCATCTAGGAAAGTGTAGTTTAGGTGGTGTTATGATTTTTATGGTATCTTTTCAACTTTACAGGAGCAAACTACCAGAATCAGGATTTATTATTTTATTTTCTTGAACTCCACTCATTAGCTGAAGTATAAGAAGAATCAACATGATCTCTTGATTCTGGAAAAATTGAATCTAGTAGCCAAGTGTATGTCACGTCGAGTTTTATTTGCATCCCGGGCAAAATTGTGAAGTGTTGAGACACTTGACAAGTTTTGGAGCAGCTGGATAACGATGTCGTCTTGTTCAGCATTTTAGTAGACGTGTGCGTTTAAAAAGTACACTATAAATAAACACCACGTATGATCGGCAGCCTCCAGGTAAAGATGCATTTGGTGTGCTGAATTTTTGAAAAGTTCTCGGAATACTACAGATTTACTTCTTCAGTTCCTTCATTATGCAATCCTTCATTTTTCCTTTATAGGAAATGAAAGATCTCGAAGAATCAAAGAAAGGTAAACGAAAAGGTAAAGGCGGCAAGCTCTTTGACGACGACGATGATGGCGAGAATGCGATGGGTGTTCGCAAAAGAATAAAGAAAGTGAAACGCTAACGTTTTTGGTGAAATCTGTTGTGAATGATTTTGTTGCAGTATTCAAAGCTTTTTCCAGTTTCCAGGGTGTAACTCTGATTTTTCGCCTTGCAGAAGATCGTGAGAATGTGAGCTGTTTTGAGAATCGTGTTCTTTGATTTAGTGATAACGTTTTTGTTGACTGTGTGTCGAATTCCGAATCCATGGCCGACGCTGGTCAGAAACAGGCTCGCTATGGAGCCGTGTCGAGTGATACTTCGCCTCCTCTGCAACGATCTTTGATCAAACCGGGCAAATTGCCTCCGTCTGATTACTGGAAAGGCATTTTGGTGTCTGTTGAGAGTGAATTCGACACGTTTCAAGGCTTCGTTGAACGTGTTGGACTGGACGAGCAGACCGTTAGTTTGACGAAAACCTTCGTTAATGGGAAGATGTTGGAGGCGAACGGCGGGAAAGCTACTCTCAGGTAAAAGTCGTATTTATGGAATTGTGTATTCGACTTCTTTTTGTGCAAAGGTTAAGTTTATCTTTTTGAACAAAACGCTGACGTTTTCGCTGAAATCTAATATGGTAGTGGTAATTGGTAGAATCTAATACTTTTAGTCACGCTCGCTTTATGCCTCATTGCATTTTGAATCATGCTGGACTATTTCATCTTCAATGCAGATCCCAAAGTTGATTCTTTAAAAATGGGGAATTGATGATGGTCAAGAAATTTCTTTTTATCGTGTGATGCAAGAATCTATTCAAATCGGCTGCACGAATAGTCAATTGCGTGGAATCCCAAATTTTCACTTCGAAGGGCCTTGCAAATTTGTAGCATGAACCTGAATGTCGGGAAAGTCTCGCCTAAAGCGATGATCTGACGGAACATTAACGGATCTAAAAAAAAAAAAAAAGATTCAACTTTGCCTTGATAATCTATGGTATTCCAGTGATTACCAAGGTATGTTCAAGGCGAATTTAATTTCTGTTTATTTAGATCTTGGAATTCGATTGTTAAACGGCCTAACCCCATACATTCATTTCCTATATTTCATTTCTGTTAAGGTTTGAGAATCCTATGTCTGAGAAACTATGACAACGTTTTTATAAATCGAGAAATTGTGAATTTCCTCGAATTGCGTTGTGGGATTTTTCAGCGAATTCCAACGGATTATTCTCTGAATCCTCGTCCTAATTTTTATCCGAAGAATCTGGGTAAATGCACAATGAAAAAAGTTTGAATATTTTCTTTATACAGTGCTGATAAGATCACCGTCATCAAGTTTCTGAGATTCCCCGAGGAAGAAGAACCAGAACAACTGAGTGTCGTTGGTCGTGACGTACCGAAGCGTTTCGAGCAACGGCGGCAGCTGGACGGAAGTCCGTCGCATGATCGTCGTGCTCCTCGAACCAGCGGCTGCAAGTATAATGGTGCTGTGAATAATAGAGCTACCGGGAAGAACTGTAATCCCAGGCGCGTTGTGACGAGCTCACACGGTCAGTACTTCAACTGGCAGCAGAAGCCAAATTTGCGTTCCGGAGAATCTCCTCAGAATTTCGAAGAAGGTGAGAAATTATAACAATCCCTTTTCTCAGCTGAGAAATATTCGCGCTTAACAAAAAACCGACAAAATTTCGCGCACATAGAATATGTTTGAAAATTGTATGCCGTACTGTAAATTGTATTACCGTACAAAAAACGTAGAATTATGTGTAGTATAGTATCACAAGTTAACAATCTTCATAACGAAAAATCCGGGTGTGAAAAGATTTTTGCCGGCCAAATGCGTCTTAAAATGCAGTACGATAAATGAAAAATACATACGTACTGTTCCATACATTAAATTATTCACTTTTTAAATTCTCTGTCGAAACTCTGTTGATGAACTTTGTTCTGCGATTTGCAAATATTTTTTTATTTGAATGGGGGAAAAAATTTAATAGTGCAAGTTTTACGATTTTTGGATGGAAAGCTCTTGGGATTGAATGAGGAAACGAAAATTTCCAATAAGTTAAGCTTCAGTTTCTTATTTCTGCTTGTATTTTTCAATTCAATTTTTCGGGTTACTTTTTCGATGAAATTTCGCAAAAATCCCGGGGTGTTTAGATTTTTAATTGAACGATAAAATTTCTGCTCGTACCGATGTAAAGCAGTTGAGTAAAGTTGATCCGTAGAGACCTTAGATATCAATTTTTTAAAATTCAGTTGGCGGCGCTTTTCGTCTAACCCGTCAGTTCTTTTCTTTGGCTGATGGGATATTTTGCATAAGTAATCTCTCAACTATAGTACTCATTTTATTTTTCGAAGTGCTGCACTGTACTTTGTCTGAACACTTTTTCCAGGTGTTCTGATCGCCGTGTAGATTAAGAATTGGTCTTTTCGTTCATCTTGTAGGAAAAAGTGGTTGGAAAAAGAGGCAAATGGCGAAGGATTCGGCGTGTTTTGGTACTCCAGTAGACAGCTTTATTGACGAGGACTTCGATTTCGATGCGAATCTGAAGAAATTCGACAAGAGAGCAGTGTTCGAGGAAATCTCCGCCCATCAGAAGCCCGGCACCGTGAAGCGCCAGCTCTATTACCGTCATGACGAATGCATAGTTCATGCTCCGAACGACAATAACTACAAGGGGACGGAAGCCCGTAGTATCTCAGGTAACCCATTGTTGCACCATTTCCAAAAATCAAGGATTATGTTCTTTTTCAAAAGGGCAAAATAACGGTAGTTTTTATCCAATTGTTTAAAACAGTTTTTAATGCTACTTGACTCAAGTTGTAAGTGTTAGAGTCAATTGTGGGTGTTATCCGTATTTACCCGAGTAACATGCGGACCTTTCTTCCGCAAAAATAAGGCAAAAAAGTGAGTTACGCGTTGTATGCGAATATGCATCAGAAGATCAATGGCGCTAGTCGTGAGGGAATCTTTGTTAGAGAAAATTACATGCGGAAACTTGTATTTCGTATTTCTCTATTTACAGTTCTTCAAGTTATAACATCATGATTTTTACTTTATTAATAACTCACCGGAATAAGTACCGTTATTTGAAGAGAAAAAATTAATATTTTGAACCAGCAACTTGAGATCACGCCGTACACGGAAATAGGTTCATCGGGCGTAGTCTATTTCAAAAAATTGAGATGCGCCTCTTACTCGAGTTAATTCGGTACATGGCATTGGGAGGACTCTTGGTTGTTTCATATTCGAGAAAGCTTCAAATCTGCCAATTTTTCCCTTCGCAGTTGGCCAAAAATCCGCATTCTCCAAGCCGAGACCGTCTCGCGGTGACCTCGCAAGGGACTAAATGTCTCAGTGATTCAAGAAGCTGGACTTCGGAACGACTATGGGAGTGCTATAAACTATGAAGCTACCTGCTTGAAGGACCACCGCCAGCATGACTCGATTTGAAGCTCTTCGTGTATAATTTTTATAGTTTTGGACCTCCGCGTGAGAAGCGACGATGAAAGCTCTACAAAGTTTCACCGGATCCGAAATCAGTTTCCAACTTTTTATAAATATAAGTTTTCTTCCATTTACAAATGTTTACCGGAAAGATATCAAGCATAAGGAGTCGATGCATTCTCAGGAAATTAAAATAATCTTTTTCACGTTCGGTGGGTTCTTGCACTTCAATGGGTCTATTCAAGATCGGATAAAATTCGTGTTGCTCACTGGGCCCGGAATTCTTATCACGAGGCACTGAAGTACAAAAGTGGCTCTTCTTCGCCCGCGTGCTGTTGAAGGATGTGACTTCGTGATCGCTCCCCCACGAGCTTAATTGTGGGTAGAAGATTTATCCAAATAAAGTTCTCGCAGGACCTTCGATTTTATTCCAAGTTTTTTCCTGCCTCCACGTCGAGTTCAGAAATTTCACCTTTACCTAAGACTCCGTAATTGCGGCGCCGACGCAACTGAGTGTTCCAAAATCGCGCGTCCTAGAACAGTGCCGGTCACAAACAGCGGATGTACTCAAAATTGAAAGTAAGAAGAGTTGAAGAATTGTCCAAGCATAGAACGACATCTGGAAATAACCCACTATTTCTGCTTGGAAAATTTTAAAAATTCCTAGTCTTGTTGCGTATCCCCCATAGCGAATGAACACCCTAATTTGTAAGAATGAATTTGTTTAATATTACCCGTGACGCAAGAATAATTTTTCCTTGCGTATAATCCACTTCTTGAAAATTTTCAGGAAGATGATTTTCTTGTTACAATTTTTGGCGACGTCATTTTGTCCAATTCATAGTACTGTACTATACTGTGCAAGATATTAAACCTTGATCGGAAGAGTCAGTGATCGATCAGTTATCTTACATATGCAAAATGTATTCTCTGAGGTTGAGAAGCTGTTCCCAAAAATGTTTTTCTCTTTATCTTGAAAACTGCTCTGCGCGTATTTCTCTCTATATTAACCTCTATTTTTTTGTAAGTCCGAACGATACCGTTTTGTGCTTTTGCTGTTCTTGGGGCGCGCTTTTTTGCACCACTTGGATACATTTTCAACCGTCTCTTCGCGCAGTATTTTAGAAATTTGTGGATTTTTATGTGTTTGTGCTATTCATGTTTCATGATTTTCTAAACGGAGCCTTTTTCCCCAACTTTTGGCAGATAGTCCCGAAAAGTGTGATTTGGTGATACGATTAGAAAATATGGCGGATGCCGGGATGAAATCCGCTGATCATCTGGTTCCTCTCGACGCGAAGCCGAAGAAAGGCATTCTGAAAAATTCCTCCAGTTTTGATAAACCAGGGCCTGCGCAGTGAGTTGAAGCATAGTTGAATTCCCCAAGAAGCGAGAATATCAGATGCGTCACTATATTCGTAACCCGCAAAATTCTTAAATTCTTTCAGCTGTTGAACGCTGAAGAAGTTGAGAGAGGATTACTGAGTAAATGCAGTGGGCTTATGAATATTGCGTCATTTTTCGTCATCAGTGGGACGCATTATGCATTTCTGATTCAGTAATTTAATAACGTATTGTGGTATTAAGGTCTTCTGAAGTGTGCTCTTCTTATAACAATTGCTGAATTCTGGTCTTTTCCCAACGCTTGATTTCGAATTTAATTGTTGCTTCTAGTAGTTGTTTTCGCTTCTGCCTTCCAGTTTGTCCGGCGGGTCCAAAGAAACCAAATGGGATGAAATGAACATCCTGGCTACTCACCATCCCCCCGACAAAGACTACGGGCATATGAAAGTCATGGAACCCAAGACCCCTTTCTCTTATTACAACGAGGCAGATGAGGAGATGGAGGGCCATTCTTCGGCGGGTCTCGACCCTAGTCAACTCGCCTCCCAGTGAGTAGATTCTGAGTCCTTACGTCGAAAGAAAAATTGTGTTCAGTTGGTTGTGTGAGTTAAAATTTTGAAATTCATTCTTTCTGTTTTCCTGAATTACCTGCGATTCATCGTTCCTGTGGGCTTTTCTTCTTGTGATGTAGAATTTGAGGTAGAGTTCACGCGCTTCCTTGCAAATTTTCAGGTGAAAATGGTTCAAGTAATCAGCGCATTATTTCACCTTCTATAGTAGTGACTATGGTAGTGAAGGCGACTCGTTTGCGTCGTTGCCTGTGGTTTTAAAAACTGGCAATTCAATATATTAACGTGTTTCAGGTACTCGTGCGGAATTACGACGGGTTATAATAACGATATGACACGTGGTTTTTTTTTCTCCTAAGAAAGAAGTTCGTAGAAATGTTTGTGGGTCCATATTTTCCTTCTTTTTACTGTTATCTCGAAAAATTTGAAGGGTTTCTCTGTTAGTCATAAATCGCGCAAGAATCTCTCCAATCGTAATAGTCGACAACTTTCTATAATCGCGGCTATGCGGGGATATTTTCTAGATATCTTTCCAGTCTGACGAACTGCATTTCTTAGTACAGTATACCGATTTATTTTTCAGGATTGGGGAAGCGGCCGGACAACCACCAAAGGTGATGCAGGAAGAGGATGAAGATGACGAAGATTATGCGCACGAAACAGAAGAAGATCGTGGTGAGAACATTCTAGAAATGCGTAATCCTGAGTTAGCCCCGTTTCTGACGAAACAATTAACGGTATCGTTAATTCCTTTATTTTGGCTAAGACTGTGTGCAATGACAGCTTAATTGAAGCGGCAGAAATTTATAACGTGACTTTATGAGGAGCTTTCTGTAAACGGAGGAAAGGATCAGGATAGTTTTGAGTGATTAAAACCCAGGTGTAGTAGAAGACAGTGAATACGTTACATGCATGTAGCTCCATAGAAAAAATGCTTTGATATCTCTTTTAACGAATTTCCCTCTATTCAGTGAAATGAATTGCTTTTCCTCCTCATTATTTGCAAACATCTTGATACTTCGGGAATACAACATTTATTTTCCATAGAGAAACTTTGTTACCGTGCCTCTGCTTTGAGGAATGAGTTATTCTGCTCGATATTTTATTGTAAGTCAAGTTATTAAAGTACTGTACAGAATGTTGAATTTCCCTCAAATGCTCACCGTTGAAGTTTTTCCAAAACAAAAGGAACCAGTGCCTTTTGTTTTGGAAAAACCAATAGCAAAAATGTTCAACAACCTCAACGAGACACTCTTGTATGCATAGAAGTTGGTTCTATCGAAGCTTAACCTATTCGTCATTATTTATGCCTCAGTGTTCTTAGGGCCTGACATTTTGTAAATTTCATAGCGAAACGACTGTCTTTCGAGGCAAAGCGTAAAGCGCATTACAAAGAGTTTTACGCGGCGCAATTGGCTCGGAAACTGATGGAGAGAGACGAACTCGAAGAGGACGACGGGGATTACCAAGAACCGCCGCAGCCTTAGGCTCAAGGGCTTTTTCAGGTCCCGTGTGAGCCTCTCATCCAAGAAATGTGCATGATTATTGATTTCAGCTCCCCGATTTTTTTGTATTTGGTATAGTATTTGTTTATCAATTTTTGTTGCTAATGAATTCCCTTTGAGCCTAATGGAAATCAAATGCTGCTTCCGGGCATTTTCTTTTTTGTGTTTGGAGAGAAGTATCCTTTTTTTGAAGCGCCCTTTTTGTGGGAGTTGTGATTCCATGCATTTCCTGTCTCACTATTTTGGCTGGTTGGTAGAACAATTCGGTGCTTCTTTTTAGTTGGGGGAAGTTAATCAAAGGACGTGCTTACTGATCAGTCAACTGCCTGTTTGAAATTTCAAGTTAGTTTCAGTGGTGTACGTGTAGCAGCTTGTTGAACACAAGATCTGTCCCTTAAGTGCAACGACGTGAGAGTTCCTTTAACCGAGTAATTCTCAAGTTTTGTGTTAACTTGTTCGTTTTTTTTATTTATATTCTGTACTGTCCTGCCAAATGCGGGTGAAATCCACAGCAATCTCCTTCATTTTCTCAAGCATTTCTTCGTGGAACCTTCTCTTTCAAGTTTACAATGTTTCGTTCTGTCATGAGTTGGGTTAATTTTAATAACTGCGTTTTGTTGCTTCCGGTCTTGGATCTTGATTTTTCATTCGCCCCTGACGTGAGATCTAAAATAATATTTTTTATTTTGACTGATGCGCCTGCCGAAGTGCTTCGAAATCCTTAATTCCACGAGGCTTAAAAGATATCTTGAAGGTGGTGAACAAAATTACAAATCCGTCTCAATCTGTACTTCTAGAACAATTTCACGTTCAATGCTGTTGCACAAGCAGGCTGGAATTAGAAGGCAGAAGCACTTTCAAGTACAATACCGCCAGTGACACCTATCTACTATGAAGTATGGTAATGAACTAATCATGCTAGTGCAGTGTACGAAAAGAATTGAAAATTCTAAGCCCACATCAACTTTTTAAATTATCTATCCGTCTGTCATGTGTCCGTACAGGATATTGTCTAAAAAGCAATCGAAACTCTCCGATCGCATTTTTCAACCCACCTCCATGCACTATAACCATCAAGCGATTCTGCCTGAACATCTGCTGAACGATTTCTTCACTTCGACCTGTGCAATTGGATTACGATGCTGTAGAGATTTTATTGATAGCTATCTGAAGTTGGATTATTTTTGAAAGAAGATACTAGATGCCTTTTTATAGTCTGGATGAAGGTTTTATCCTTTTTTGGTTCCGGCGTGATTTGAGGCGGAATTTTCTACGCGCGCACCTTCCTGAAACATAAACGATGTGCTCGGAAATGTTGCCAACCGTGACGGGAGACCAGGTGTAGAGAAGTGTTCTGCTTTTTTTTTTGGAGAAAGAAGGTGGTTTCCTGAGAGAAATTGAATCCTTCATGTTCCGGCCTTTCAGTGTGAACGTACTGTACCTTATTCTCACATTCGCGCCGTAAAAACAGATGTGACTTTGATTTGTACACGGATCGTTCGAGTATTGCTGGGGATTAAAAAGAAGATGGCGACAGGAGTATCCTTTTTTTCTGTTTCTTGAATGTTCATCACATTTTTTCAGCCCAATCGGATGCTTTGATTTGCAGGGTTTTTTGGTGTGAAAGTGAGAGAAATGAATAGTTCTTCGGACCCGCGGCGCCCAGAGCGCATTGTGAGGCTGAAAACGACGGACTACACGGGCGCTGGGGCTTCTGCTGGTGATGATCCCACGCCGGATTACATGAATGTTTTGGGAATGGTGTTCAGCATGTTCGGGCTCATGATGCGGGTTAGTTGGGATTCCTCAATTATGGCGTTATTATTTTCTTGAAATAAAAGTAGACTGTCTTCACATCGATTTTCTCTTGACAAGTTTTTTGATCGCATAGGAGCCATAGGGTCAGTTTCAGTTTTGATGCTGGTTCATTCGAACTCGATTGAGACCAAAAAACTGTTTTTTAATTGAGTGTTTTTGCTAATCTTGATAAAGTGTTTCAAGGACATCCTCTTCGGTGATTCATGGTATCTTAGTAATTCGAACTCTTTCAACATAAAGTTCATCTGCCATTATTTTTCTTGTTGTTGAACTGCTTTCCTTCGTTACTTCACTCGAATACTTCACTCGAGTCTGTGACACAAAGTTTTCTATTTGAAAACTATGAGAACCACGAACACATAATCTTGATGAACGCAGAAATTCCACCTCTCAAGGAATTTTTATTTGTATTGATGAGTATCTTCCTTGGTTTTTATGTAACCCTCTTGAAGAAGTTTGTTGAAAAAATAAGTCGTGTTCGGAAGGTCCGGGGAGGAAGAAAATTTTTACACGCGGCCCGGCTCTCCGGAGGTGGAAAAGTGATTTCCGTCGTCTTTGCTCTCATTCTATGATTCGATTCCAGGTGAAATGGTGTGGCTGGGTTGCTCTTTATTGCGCATGCATCAGTTATGCAAACTCTCGAGTAAATGATGATACGAAGCAAATCCTCAGCAGCTTTATGTAAGTCGAACTGTTTATTCCCGTTCGATTTTTGATTATTAGCTGGCTTTTCCCGAAGTTCTGCAGATTTTATGCTCTTAACCATGCGGGTTCATGTTCACAGGTTGTCGGTTTGCGCAGTTGTCATGTCGTACCTGCAAAATCCCCAGCCCATAATACCGCCCTGGGCACTCGGGTAACATTTTAGGTTTCTAGTCATACATTTTATTTCATGTGCAAGTGTTATTTTCTTCCGCGGGTTGATTGGAAACGAAAACTGCATTGTTTACTCGAAGAACTTTTTTTAAGTCAACGATAAGTTACGAGACTTACGACAAAAGTTCGCGGTCACATTTTCCTTCAACCAGGTTTATTATGAAGTTATATAGGGAGACAAATTGAAGCTAATTAAATATTTTTGCTTTTGCCATTATTTGAAGATGCCGAACACCTAGTTAACCTTACGGAAGACTTGATTAAATGGACGGTCCCCGATTAAAGTAACCTGATTCTTACCCACCCAATTAGTGAGTGTAACAAGTAAATAATTGAACTGAAACCTGTCTAAACAACTGCAGAACTTAGCTGAGTTAATCGAATGCCGTAATCCATGTAAAAGACTAAAATGTTCCTCGTGAGTGAACTCAACTCACCACCCGAGTAAGCTATCGTAATACAATATTTAACAAACTTGACCAGCCGAACTAGACACCAAGCTGTTGCAACGTTAACCTCAGCAAATAGCCAAATATAATGACAAATTAAAAAACTTTCTCTATAAATGAACAACTGTTGGATGGACCCGTAAAAATTGAGAACCATAACGAAGAATATGGGTATTTGATGAAACATATTCTTCTCAGTAGCCTGCGTGAATGCTCACGAAAACAGAATATGCATGTACCGGTATTTCTGGAAAAGACCGCGAACTTTTGTCGAACCTTGCGCGAAGTATTCATGTCGTATCGTGTTCTGCTGATGCTAACTTATATTAATCCTATCTTCCGTTATACTATTCTGCAGATTTATTTTAATCTATTTCGTGCTACATGAAAATTATAGCTTGTACAACACTCACTCTGTGAAATGCGACATTTGATGTTGCGAAATGCCACAGTATTCCGTCGCCTGTTGCCCATCGGAACGTGAGTGTTCTTTGAAGATTTATTTTGGAGTAGGCGTTGAGAAATCAATTTTTGCGAATAGATCATCGCGATGTTGTTCCGATGGAAAGCCGCAGCAACATCACCGTGAAACAACGGATGAAGATAAAAAGTTCACGCGTTTGAAGCCAATCTTGCTTGTTTCTACGGCTCTGGGTGGGGCCTATTTGCTCAAGGAATATTTTTTCGACAATGGTGAGTGTTCTTGATCATCTTTTCGTCGAAACCATCGTTTTAACAAGCACTTCAGTTAAAATAAATACAATGGTTTCGAAGTTCGTCAGTGAAATGAATTTACCGCGATTTCTAAATTCATTCACTTCCACTGTGCAATTTGAGCTTTGATTTGCTCGAATTTATCTTCTCTTGAGAAACTTCTCAATTTTCAAACGGTCGAATTTGAAATTTTGATTTATACGTCTTGAGCGTTAAACTTTCGGGATAGCTTACCATAAACTTAGCCTATTGTTCTCACTTAAACTTTCGGTTAATACTGTATAATATAATCAGGGAACGCTGTTCGATCTTCTTACTACAGTACAATCATAGACTCGAAAATGCAAAGCTATGATTATTTTTCTTACGATATCAATTAAGGCTGCAATAATTTTTATTTAAAAATGTGATGCCTCGAAAAATACTCGCTGGGTGTTTAATCCCGATGCAAGTACGCATGTGCTTAGAAAAAGTTCATTTAAAATACGGTAAGTAAATCGTGATTTGTCCTAATTTATGGGGTTTGCAGCTCTAGCGTAGATGAACGGCATTTTATGCTGCAGTAGTAAAATACTTTTGAATGAATTTTTCAATCATTGTTCCTTTTCTTACAAAATGTACTTGCAGTTCATGCTGCCGAGAAGCCGAAGGGAGAGGTGCAGAAGCCAAGAGAAGAAGGGGATCCTTCCCCGGGGCTTCCTTCCTATACCATGGATCAAATCCGAGAGCACGACTCTTCTGAGAAGCGGATTTGGATGACCTACAGACAAGGAGTTTACGATGTTACCGACTTCGTCAATCGCCATCCAGGTTATTTAATTCGATTTTCCTCTTCACCATGGAGAAGTGTGAAATAAATTACTTTCCAACGTTTTTAGGCGGAGATAACATCATGCTTGCTGCTGGTGGAGCAACTGACCCGTTTTGGAACCTGTACGCTATTCACAAGGAACCGCACGTGTTGAAAATTCTGGCAAAGTACAGAATAGGTACGGAAAAAGAAACCTTCCATGAAGCGAAGGAATGAAGTTCCTTAGATTTAACTTCAGGGTGTAAAATATTCAAGTGAAGTGTCCGAGAACATCAGTGTCATGCCTCAAGTTCACTACGGTTTCCAGTGCTGTTCGCGTTCTGTACTTACAAAAATAAAGTTTCTCGCGGCACAGTAACATTTTGGAAAAATTATGCTTCCGGAGGTTTACACGATCCTCGAAGCCAGTTAGTTATATTTTAAGATTTGCAGCCAATGAAGCTCTTTTGAAAGACTTCGAAAGATTGGAATGTTATTCATTTTTATACATTGAGTGATGTTGGCATAATTTTATTTACCAGGAAATATTTCCGAGGAGGAAGCCAAAAGTCAAGTGGAAGGAATGGAGGATGCTTATTCCAACGAACCTAAAAGACATCCCTCTCTAAAGTAAGGGAAAAGGGACTCAATTTCCTTCCAGACTCGTTTTGAGCTTTCGGTGCGTCGAACTCTGCCCAGTCATTGTGAGGGACTAAAATAAAGTAGAAGCAAACATTCTGAAATTCATTTGAATAACATAAATTTTTCCGTTTTCAAAACCCCTTGGAATTCGTGTTTTCTGGAAAAAAAACCTTCGCGCAATCTTTTGCGTTCTTTTTCTGAACAGAACTGGTCCAAAATTATACTTTCGACTCAAATTTACGTATGTTTCGAACGTTTCTTATTTTGAATACTCAAATATGACGCATTTTGATGATTTACTTACTACTTAGTATGTGCATTCAATTCAGCAATTGTTATGCATGGGTCAAAGTTTTATCCAGTAGTTTCGTACAAGCTATATTTCATATTTTGGTCATAATTTTCTTGAATTTGGCCCAAATTGAAAGTAGCACTTTTCTCTAAGGAGAAGCGAAATGTCCTCTGTTTGTTGCAAATTGTCTATTTATTTTTATTTTTTGAAGATTCTCAGACATTTGAAATTCAAAGTTTACTCAGAAACGATTATCCGATTATGCCTCTCTTAGACCGGCGAGCAAAACTCCATTCAACGCTGAACCTCCGATGGAAATCCTGGCCGATTCTTTCATCACTCCGAAGTAATTTCCAGCGTTATTTACTATTCAGGCTTCGCAATCGCATTGCAGACATGATTTTCACAGTGATCTGTTCTACGTGCGTAACCATTTGCCTGTCCCGGATATCAAGGAAGACGAGTACGAGCTAGAGTTTGAGGGAGAGCCAGGGAGCAAGACGATTACTCTTTCCCTGAGTGACTTGAAGAAGCTGCCTAAAACTACGGTCACTGCGGTGCTACAATGTGCTGGAAACAGAAGAGGAGAGTTGATTGAAGTATGTCAAGATCATGATAGGTTTTGAGTGTGGTTTCAAGAGAGATTATTACAGATTAAACCAGTGAGAGGATTGGTGTGGAACGCTGGCGCCATTGGTAATGCAAGGTGGACTGGAGTCCGTCTGACAGATTTCCTGAAAAGTGTGGGAGTGGATCCTGCGAAAGTTAAAGCTACACAGATACAGGTCAGTTGATATTTATCTCCCATTAAATTGAATAAATGCGCAGTCATTTTCTTTCCAATTTTTTAGTACCATGGCATCTGTTTACGGGCATTTCATACATTTGTCTGTGTCTTCAGTGGTTAAAAAGCAACTTCTGTACTTTGGGCTTGACACTTATGGATCGATGATGAATTTAAAAAACTGAGCAGAAAATATTTCAATTATAGCTCAAACGAGTTCTATTAATTTGCTTCGAATCTTCTTCGTTTTACACATTCTTCTCTGGCGTTTTGTTGTTGCTATTGTCAGTTGATCGAAACTACCTCTGAAAAATGTTTTGAAGTCGGGAAAGAAGTTCATATTTCCGCATCTACAAATGTGAGAATGCCGCTTCGTTTAATTTTTGCATAGATAAATAAACATTAGTTTCCGAAATAGAAAATTTGAAATGAAAAAATTCGTGAGCAAAGAAGTAGACCATTAATTTGATGAGAAATCATAGTTTTTGCAGTTCTTTTTGTTGGAAAATTTGTCTTGTATTTCCTGGGGCACACTTGCAGGAAGTACAGTACAGGTACCTTATTCTGAACTGGGTTTTTCAATACGCAAACAAATTGTATATGCTAAATAAGCAGTGCCATCAATTTTTACTGAAAGAACTTGGTAGCTTTTATTTTCAATTCCTATATGGAGTGAGCTGGATACAAAATTGTTCTGAAAAAATCAATATTGAGTTTCTTCGAATTCATTTATGGGATATATTTTTGGTCTATTTTTGAAAATGGTGGCGAACATCTTGAAATTATTCCTAGTTCGACGGTTACGATACGGATCCGACGGGTAAAACCTATGGAGCATCAGTCCCAGCTGACAAAGCACTGGATCCAAAATCTGAGGTCATCCTTGCCTACGAAATGAACGATGAACCCTTGTCCCGAGATCATGGGTTCCCTGTGCGGGTCATTGTTCCTGGTGTCGTTGCTGCTCGATCCGTGAAATGGCTCAACAGAATTTCCTTTTCCGACGAAGAATCTTGGTCTTTCTGGCAACGACAAGACTACAAGGGATTTAGTCCTTCTCAAGAAGCCGAAGGAGCAGACTTCTCAAAGGCGATGTCGATCCAAGAAATGCCTGTGACTTCTGCTTTCACGTATCCGAAGAATGGGTCGAAAGTCAGAGTGAAGAATGGCAAAATATCTGCAAAAGGTTTGCGCCAAAAAATAAATCCACCCAATTATCTCATAAGCTAGGAACTGTTGCGGATTTTCATATTGAATTCCCTTCAGATTTTAGTGTCACACTGAGCTTTTATAGGATTAGACGTCAAAAGTTTCTAATTACAGTATTTCATTCTTCGATTGCTGATTGCTGTTGAGGATACAGTAAATGGATTTGATAAGCTCTGTCGAGAAGTACGGTATTCCTTATATTTCGCGAAACTGTTTTTGAAACTTTCCAACATGAATTTGAAGCCGAAGAGTCCTTCCCAAACATTTTCACAGAGATTCCAGACTTCTCTAGGAGTTCAGGGCCATACCAGAAAATTTCCAGTTCCAAAACATATTTTCATAAATGAACGTGTGTCAAATGAGCGAGCCCCTGAATGTCAAGGTTTCAATGGAGCGAGTTTACGAATGGTCTATAATTATAAAAGAAAGGGGACAAATGAGCCGGCATCAGAAGTTGGCAGTTTGACGACGTGATACTTCATAAGTCCCTCAGAATGAAGGAACCCCTTCGAGAAGACTAATTCAAAAGTCGTTGTTTTTCCTTTTACTTATACGCATTTCTTCAAGTTTATCTGTTGCGAATTATTTATGATGCTTTGGCTTCCCTAAATTTTGGAGCGAACCCAAAACCCTGGCTCCTGAGTCCTGACTGATGAATTCTAATGATATGGTTTGTTCATGCCATCGTTTGGAGAAAGTCGGAAGCTCAGCTTTGTATTATCATTCTCCCTGAATAGATCACGGACCAAACACAACCTTTCTTTTTTTATTCGAAGGTTACGCTTGGAGTGGCGGCGGGCGACCGATCATCCGCGTTGATATCTCCGCCGACGGCGGGAAAACTTGGTACGTTGCCAACATGGACAAAAGGGAGCCCAAGTGTGAAGGTACATACTCATTCTGCTGGTCATGGACTTTGTGGAGTGCCGAAATACCGACTCCGAAGGGTGTCCATGAAGCCGAACTGATGGTAAAGGCCATCGACGCTTCGTACAACTCCCAGCCGGATACCACTGCCAACATCTGGAATTTCCGTGGTGTCCTTTCCAATGCTTATCATCGTGTTGTAGTTAAGTTTGTGTAACCTGAGTGTGTGCACGGGATTGGATGAAAGTTCGCCGTTGTCCTGAAGCTGTAGGAAAATGCTGTTTGACATGTTCGACAACGACTTATATTTTTGCCATATACCCCGGAACAGATCTTGAAACGAACAAAAATGTCAAAATTAACAGTTCCAAAGGGTTCAAAAAGCCCTTTTCAAAAAGAAGGGTTCGAACATGTTCAACTAGATTGTGGTCACAGCAAAAATTCAACTGCAATTCAAATTTGAACTTATTCAAGCAATTTTGTTCGAGGAGCGAAAAATAATCGATTCTGCGTATTGGAAAGTTTCACTCTCTGTGAGCATAACATCTCTTAAAGATCTCTTCATTCTTCACTAAATCATATTAGATCCACAAAAATATTTTTTTTCGCTAGGAAACATGAAAAATTGCTATCGGAAACTTGTTTTCAATTGATTTGAAGTTATGAAGGAAAGTGACTCGCCTTTTGCAAAAGGTTGTCTCCTTGGCTAACAGTTCGACTTTTCCGTATATCCTTGAATCATTGGAAAAATGGCAATTTTTTATAATCGATAATCGTGGCTGCGGGAAAGTTTTAACGGCGAACTTTTGTCTGATCCCGCGTATCAATGAAGTTCATAAGGCGAAAAATCAAAAACGTTCTGTGTTTGAATGTTTTTGAGGCAGTGTTGTACGGTAATTGAAATCTGAATCTTCGTCGAAATCTCAGTTCGAAGTCATATTTTGGTTTTATGGAATCATAGCTTTTAAAGGGTGTAACGTTGAACTTGTGATGAAATCTGAGAAACTCTCGATTCCGTATGCAGTGAGCAACTAGTGAAAATTGAGTTCGGTGTTGGGCTGGTAAGCGGTGAATATGTGGGTGCCAATTGTTGAATTATATGTTTTACTGTTGGCTGTGCGAATGCTTTGCTGTTGAAGTCTCGTGATTTCAATGTTGGCCTTCTTTTCAGGGAGAATAGCATGTAAATCTCGCGAAGAATCAGAACTTCGTGTTGTATGTGTTGAAGGAAACGCTCACATCCGTTGGCATGGCGTTAATATCGCGGGGTTTTCGCGTTGACGCTGCGAGAATAATTTCTTGTGCATTGAGGACCTTCTCGTCGTCAGAGCCGCGAAAAATCAAAGAAAGTAAGTGTACTTCTATAATTTCAATTGAAAACCTGGGTTAGTACCACATAGTAGCTATAGTGGGTTAGTATGAGCAGTTAGTACCACTCTCAAGTTTCAAGTTGCACGTTTTCTGGCATTGTTTCTGAGGGGTTTTGAGTTAAGGTTGATTCCTTCTCAAAAGAACCAGTGTCAAAAGAGCAAGCTTGTATGAGATGAAATTCACGAAAAAACAACGGAAGTGAACGTCCGCAAAATAAAAAGAAATGGCAGTATCAAAATAGCAAATTTCAAAGAAGAGGAAGTGCATGAATTTCAGTTATTATTAGAAGAGCTAGTGCAAATAAAAAAGTCAAAAATAGCAAGAGAGTGTCTCTTCAGGTTAAAATAAAATCCCAACAGGGCAAGTATAGGAGATCTGAGAGTAGAAAGAAGAAATATAATTTTGAAAGAGCAAGTCACGTAAGGATTGTATTGGTTATTTCTGCGTGTGCTCGTCAGTGTACTTGCTCTTTTCATACTGAGCTCATCCATGCTCTCGCTCTTCCGAGATTTGCTCTTATGTGGTATGTATGATCCCAGTGACAAAAACTCAGGATGTTCACTGTAGGCTCCTTGCTTCCCGCCGAGCTGGAGAAGTTTAAAAAGCTCAGCAGCGATTGGTGGAACAGCGAGGATGGCTCGCTAAAGGGCCTTCACTCAATGAACGCTCTCCGCATCCCGCTCATAAAGTCCGGCCTCAAAGGCTCAATGTCTACCGCGAGAATTCTGGATGTCGGCTGCGGTGGCGGCATTTTGGCGGAGCCTTTGTCTCGGTTAGGCGCCGAAGTAACCGGACTAGACCCGTTGGAAGAGAATATCGCAGTAGCCGAGACTCACAAAGGAGAGACTAGATTCCGCGGTAATCTCTCGTACGTGTGCGCCACGATCGAAGACTTCGCTAACACAAATACGAACCGTTTCGACGCCTTGGTCTCGTCCGAAGTGATCGAACACGTTGCGAACCCTGGTGAATTCGTCGCGAATTGTGTCCGTGTCGTGAAACCCGGTGGATCCTTGTTCTTTACTACAATCAGTCGCACTAGTTCTGCGTATTGGTTGGCCATCGTGGCTGCGGAGAGACTGACTAGTGCGGTTCCGCCGGGTACTCATGATTGGAATTTGTTTGTGAGTCCCGGGGAACTGACCAAATACTGTGAAGAGAGTGGGTGTCGCGTTGAGCTCGTTCATGGGATGCGTTACAACCCGATCAAGAATTCGTGGACTTGGTGTTCGAACACTGATGTGAACTACGCGCTTCACGCCATCAAATTATAGTTCTGGGAATTGTTAGAAATGAATTTCTTGTCATTTGTAGCTTACGTTCCTTTTGCCGTATATTTTTGATGAATTTTCTAGTTCGTGATCAACTGCGTCAACTTTTTTGCAGTGCTTAGGATGACTGATGGAAAGATGCATGACTACAGAGTTGCACAGGAATGTGTGAACTGGTTTTCAATCAGCTATACCTGTTTTTATAAAACTGCCAAGGATGAAACCTGAATTTAGTCCAAAATTAAAGTTCAATTCAATTGCACTTCAGTTGGGTAACGAACAAAAATTATGTGAAGCTTTAATTTGATATCGGAGGTATTTGAATGATATGGGCATTCTGTTATTCTATTTGTATGTGCTGTACAGTATTATGCATAGAATAATCGATGAAAATCTAAGCGTATTCATTTCTGTAAAAATTGAATTTCCGACATATTTCGCCGAAGAAGAGAGGAGCAGACCAATCCGGGTCGGATTGGAAATCATTATCCATTTATGAAGAGGAAAGTTCTGTATCACGATTGGAGGCATAGGATCAAAATTGGCCCTACGTTTCTTAGTTCCTCGACCACTTCGATCGTTCTTGGAATCAATTTCAATGACTGATCTTTCGAAACAGGGACGTTTTTGAGGTCTTTGGTTTAGAAAAATGTCTTTGGTTATTTTTTTGACACTTGATAGTTTCTGTTTTTTGGATCTTCATTCATGCACTCGTGTAGATACATCACACTTTCTCATTTGCTTCATTCTTTTTTATTCGTTTTGGAGTCGGCGAAGTAGACGGGGTTTCTCGGGGCCACGAAGAGCTAACGTGTACTTGTCTTGATTTCTATGATATTCAAGAAGATAACAGCTCCTCTGGATGTAAGAAAAATTTGACAGCCGAAATAGAATTAACAGCTACTTTTCTCTTATATATACCTCGTATTGTTGAATTATGCTGTACACTTGTGCAGTATTACAGGAATATAAAAAATTGAGTGACCCAAACAAATCGGGAACACTTGTGGAACGCATTCTTCCGACCATATGAAATATTTTACTTTCATTTTTTATGGAAGCTTTTTCAAACATGATTCGTATCAATCTGGTTGATATCATCTCATCCAGCTTCTGAAAGGCTGTTTGCGAGTACTAATGTATTCACAAAAGCATTTCTGTACTTCTCCTGTATTTTCACAGTTGTGCGACGTACTGAAGGAGATACGACTATTATCGAGGGCGTGATCAAGGAATCTCGCATCGATTCTGTCGTGAAACTTACGGATTCCGACCCGAAGCATTCTTGCCCAGTTTGTGCTTTGGAGTCGCGGGGCATCATCATTAGACACACTGTGAGGCAATTTCACATCATATTGTATTGTTCAAGCTTTTTAAAATAAAGTCTTCTTGTCGGTTATAGGATGTGCGTATTCTGAACCAGTTCTTGAATTCGAAGCATGAAATGCTGCCTCGAAAATTAATTGGCATCTGCAAGCGACAGGAGCGCCGCATCAAGAGTCTCATCATGATGGCGCAGAATGCCGGTGAGCAAAATTGTCTGCATTATTGCTATAATTTCTACAGTATTCAGGAAAGCTTTCTGTTCAGTGAGATATTTTTATCTTTTACTATATTGTTTCAATTGCGGGAATAAGTTATAAGTTAGGGAATAAGTTAGAACTGGCAGTCACCAAGGCATATTTAGAAATACAATTGGCTCTCTCTCTCTTTCTTCAACGATCTTGTCTACCCCGATTTTCTCAGTGTACCGATTTTTTTTGTCTGGTTGGGGTTTCTCTCCATGTTATAGGGGGTTCTTCACAACTAAATTCTTTCTGCAGCCAATTGTTTCTGGTCTCCTGAATATCTTTGTTGATAGTCCACCTGTAATGTGTCACAGAGTCATTATGAATGCCTACGCTTCTATGGATGTAACGTATGTAACCATTATTGGCACCGTAGCTTGGGAAAATTGATCTGATTTTGTAACTTCATAATCAATTAATTATTTTTTCATTATCATACTTCGGTCAAACCTTCTTCACCGATTCGCTAGTAAATCGGAAGAACTTCTGCATGCGATCCGTCCAAGATTTTAAAGGCAATGACTCATGAATTGCACATCAATAAAACTCTAACTTTTCATTATTGTCCAGTCGCCCATTCTTTTTTTTTTTCATCCCAGCGAACTTAAAAAACCCTCATTTTCCACGAAAAGTGTTGCTTGTTTGTGGCCATTGCAGGTAGTAGGCAAAGAATAAAGTGCATTTTTCCTTGCAGGACTTCTTCCTTCACCAAAACTGGTGAAAATGCCGTGGGAGAAGTTGAACCGTTACTACGTTGAAGAAACTGATGTTCGGGACTACAAAGTACACAGTCTGCCTCATTTGAAGCATCTGCTTCCCGAAAATTACGGTGTTCAGAAAGAGTGATTTTTGGAAGTGCTAGTAAAAGTGAAGCTTTTGCCGTTATAATGATCTACATTTATTAGTGTCTCTTGCTCGTGGTGCGACGTTTGCTCAACTGAATTGAGGTTTATTTCTGTTTTGAAGGAGTGTGTGTGAAGTGGACGATGGAGGTCTGAGCCCGGTCCATTATGTCTTCAGTGAGCAAGCTTGACCAGGTCTATCGAACTATCCTGCTCAGCAAGTACTTTACGAAGGGATGGGGGGAACCGGAAGTGATGAAGCGGTATGTGATTTCCGGTAGTTGAAAAAAACTAGATTTTGTACCGTAGCTAGTTCTGCTTTCAGGTTGTTCCGCTTTCGAAAAATCATGTCGAACCGAGAAACTTGCCGGCATCTAGTTTCGCACCACTACCCAATTTCTGTCAAACAGGTAAGGTGTTTTCTATGTCGATGAAATAACGCGATGATTTATTTTAGTAATCTGTATACTCGTTTAAATCTCATCAAGAATGCAATAAAAATAAAACTACTGCGTCTGTTTTTCGAAGTTTCCTTGGAGTGATAATGCTTTTTGTATCTCTCGAATGGAGCTCTTTATGTCTGATATTTAAAAAACCAATGGCCTCTCATTTTTATTGGTAAATGAATTCGGATGTAAAGATCATCTAAATGGGTTATCTGTCGTATTTTTAAGCGAAACTTGAAGCGTACTGAGAGAACCGAATTACGATGATATAATTCTAAATAGAAACTTCATTTCTAGTCTAAGTATGTAAATGGAGACTAACTTTAGTTAACTTGAATGGTTTTGAATGAGCTCGCGCCGGGTGACATGATTTCGAGTCCTGGTGTTATATTCTCCATGTAGTCAGCATGTGGAGAACCCGTACTTGCAATTTATTTCAATCTGTTTTATTTCAGTACCACATTCCCGGATCATTCATTTTAAAATACCTTCATCATACTGTACTGTACAGTAATCTCTGAATTCCAATTTATGTGGTGGTTCAACGTATTTTTTCTTCCTCTTATTCCGCGATTGAAACTTGAAGGTGGAAAGCAACTCCGATTACAAACTTTTCGAAGGAAGCTTCACCTCTCCGTTCGTGAGGTTCATGGGTGACCTGATGCCAGTGGAATGTCACACAGCTCATTTCCAAATGCTTTTGCCGACAAAATGGCGAAACGAAAATCATAAACCCGTTTGCATTCACCTAGCCGGGACAGGCGATCACGTTAGTTTTGCTACTGTTTTTGATGTGATGCCAGAGGGCTGAATTATGGTTGAAATCAGTTTTTCTGGAGGCGGCGCACGCTTATGGCAAGACCCTTGCTGCGGGACTCCGGCATCGGATCAATTCTCGTCGAGAATCCTTTCTATGGATCGAGGAAACCGAAGGATTATGTGTAAGTCAATTCCGAATGCGTCTTTTTCTTGTGTTTGAGGCAGGAATTGAGTAGGTCCTCTTGTGTCTTAGTTGGGAATGTCCCTTAATTTTCTAGAATTTTTTTTTTTTCGTGTACAGTACCTGTCTGTGTGGACGGGTGTTATCACTCGGGAAATTTTTGAAACACTTAACATTTACGCTCTCTTCACCACGATTTTGTCTGGACGATTTTTTTTTCATTTTGATCTGCAACTAATTTGTTTCTAGTCTTCTGAACTTCGTTGTGAAGAGAGTCTGCCTCTATAACGATTTATTGGTTCCGTATGGGTTCTCTACACTTCTACAGAGTCTAAACTTCTACGCTACTTGTTTCATGGAAAGCATTTCTACAATTCTTTTGATTGCCTTGTTTTCAGCCGTTCCAATTTGCACAATGTGACTGACATTTTCCTCATGGGTGGTTGCTTGATTCTGGAATGTTCAGCTTTGCTGCATTGGTGTGAAAGGAATGGATTCGGACCACTTGGGCTTACCGGGATTTCTATGGGTGGACATGTGAGTTTTATTGTTACAAATGTCCATTGGGTGCGTGAATGAAAGTTTCTTGTTTCTCAGATGGCGTCATTGGCAGCGACGAATTGGCCAAAGCCAATTGCTCTGATTCCTTGTTTGTCGGGAACAAGTGCCTCAGGTGTTTTCACGCAGGTCGGTTTTTTTATTTTATTATAAAAATGAATTGAGGTTGTTTGCGTGTGTGTATGTGTTTTATGAATGCGTTAATGATTTTTATCATTTTCCCGGAAGGGCGTGATGAGTGGCGCAATCGATTGGAGTCTTCTAGAGAGCCAGTACTGTTCTTCCAGTGAATATCGGGAAGAGATCATGCAAATGATCAAGACAACGTCTAAGGTGATCTTGCTCTATATAATCGTATCTTGGATAAGAGGCACGCTGGAGTTTGATGGAAATTTAATGATCGGGTGTTTTTCATTGAGGTTTTTCATTTACGTTTTCATTTAAATTAAATTATTGAATTATTTTCTGTTTCACTGCGTGTTTCTAACAAAACGCATGTATTATATTTATTTTTAATATCTTATTGGAAATGGGATTTTCAATATGTCCAATTGTGAAGAGTCTGTCGTCTGTCATTTTGATTTGAAGTTTGTACGGGTAATTGATGATGAATTCAAAATCCTTACATCGATTAAATTATAATTATGATTGATCCCTTGTGAAAAGAAAGCGAAGTTCGTATCTTTCCTCAATGTAATGAAGAATTCTCGCATCATTGTAAAATATTACATCACTGTTGGTAAAATTGAAAGGAAACGCAAATTTGTCCTCTTGATTTTGTTCTTTCAAGTTTACACTACTGTATTTCCGATTTTTTATTTCTGAATTTTATGCATGTAACACATACACATGTATTTTCCTTTATTATCAAGGACGCGGCTTTCGTCGCCGGACGAGAATTTGTGCAGCGGTTTCCGGAATTCAGCGACAATCTGAAATTTGCTCGGGATGTGGTTGTGGATCGTGACAGAGATGCATCAGTATTTTTGTCAAACTTCGAGAATCCGTTTGGCGTGTTGGATGGTGGTGGTCGGCTGTGTACAGGTGATCATTGCGAACCTGTCGGTTTGAAATCGCAGGATGATGGGGTTAAACACATTGAAGTTCAGCCAGTGACCCGGTCGAAGGCGGAAGTCGTCAAAAAATGGATCAGGTACGATATTTCAGAAATTCCACCAGTTTCTGTCGACTTTCTTATTCTTTTCTTATTATGCCAATGATAAATAATTATAGTAGATTAAAAAATTAATCTAAAAAACCACGTTTTCAAAAAGCAAAAAATAACCTTAAATGTGGTGCCCATCTATTTCATTTGTATTTCACTT